CACGGAGCTGAAGGTGCCGGTGAGGCCAACGGTGAGTTGGCTCAGCTCTGCTCTGATTGCCTGCACGTCTGCCTTCAGCCCATCCTCCAGCGCCTGCAGCATCATATTCTCCTTCATCTGTGAGTTCTCCAGCATGATGAAGAGCTTGTCCCACTCCGTGTGCTCCCGCTGGCAGTCACACGAGGCAGCTGCAAGGCAAGACACGGATGTAGGTTTAAATAGAAGGGGTGTTTCCCGAAATCTGCCTCTGTGCAAGGCTTCAGCCTGCCCCTGCATTTATGTCTGTATCAGAGCAGAAGGCAAAGCAGTGCTCAGTACAGCAATCCTAAAACCAAGTGGCATCCACCGTCCATTGCAGGAAAACAGAAAAGTAGTGGCAGCAAACTGCAGCACGCCATCCCAGTACCCGAGCATTGCCGTCTGCAATAACCCACTGCTACAAGCACATGGTTCCTCTTAAAATAATGCTTGTGGTTGTTACAAGAGCTAAGCAACAAAGAACGCAGCGCTGCGCTGTAGATGGTATCTACTTACATTCCTCAGTGCCCAGAACTGGACCTTCGATTTCGTTATCCAGATTCACATACATGAGATCGTAGTCGTCGTCTTCATCCAGCACAGAAGCAGAAGCCCTGAAAACACAGAACAGCGTGAGCAGAGAAAGCACTCCTCCAGGCAGCATTCTGCAGCTGCTTCCTGCAAATAGCCAGGCTGGGGCTGGGCTGGAGTGGGACTGCAGCAGGGACTGCGAGGAGCCACGGGCAGCCCCTAATAAATGCTCCGAGTGTCTCAGCTTGAATGAATGAGCGCTGCGAGTGCCAGCGCTGTAATAGGAGCACTTCTGGTTGTTGGTTTTGGCAGTGAGGAGCAGGGGGCGTGCAGCTTGCTTAATGTCAGCCCCCAGGTCTGCATGTGGGGGGGGAGGATGGGGAGAGCTGCTCCGCACGCTGCTGCTTCCCCTGGAGCAGAGTGCCAGAAATGCGCAGCGTTGGGTGGGAGCTGGGAGAGGGACTGCTGCCTGAGCTGCATCACTTGGGCTGCTCTGTGCTCTTTGTGCAAACTCCGTTGGCAGTTGGTATGTGCTGTGGTTACGGAGGGGGCTGGCAGGAAAACACAGCTACCTGGAGCTGGTTTGGGTGTGTGTGTCTGGTGTAACCTATATGCTGTGGCTTTGGGGGCTGTTTTCTTTAGAAACTTCTGCTGCGCTGGTAGTTTGAGCAGCAAAGGAGAGCTTGTAAAATAAAGGCAGTTTGTCGGGTTTTTACTTTTCTAGCCCAAATTAGCGATAGCAACTTTGTATCCATTAGAGTAATGTGTTCCGTCTAGTTTCTTCCTTCGGGAGCCTACAGGTTAGCAGCTGCACGATTAGGATTGTGTCTGTTAACATGGAGAAAAACAAAATGAGAGACTGTGGGGTTAGGTGTTAATCTGGTGCCAAGTCCTACTGTTGTTGGTGTTGATCACTTTTAAGTGCTGGAGAGTGTATCAGTTTAATGAGCCTCGGGTTACTCCAGCATTGAGATTAAGGGTAGCACTCTGATGGTACAAATTATATATTGGCCACAAAATATTCAGAGAACAGGATACAAAAGCAAACAGAGCTGCATCTCATTTGCAATCCGTTGTTCCCTTTCTGGTTAGACTCCCCAGGAGAGGCCGGTGCTTCCCTTAGTGCTTGCCAGCCCTGCTCCTCCAGCACGTGGCCGATAGCACAGGAGTGGGACAAGTGTCTGTGGGAGGGTTAGCAGAGGTGCATATGGCCTCAGCAGTTGTCCCTTGAGTTTGGTAGGCTGGAACTAACTGATCTTTGAGGTCCCTTCCAATCCAAGCCGTTCTGTCATTCTATGACCAAGTGCTGCTGTACTGCTCTGCTCACAACATACCCACAGAGTGCTATGGGAGTCGTTCTCCTACAAGCTCTGTGCTGCTGGGCTGGGCCATGGAAGGGGCAGAGCAGAGGCAGCACACAGAGCCTTTCATAGAATCATCGTGGTTGGCTCTTTTGGAGAAGAAATCTTTCTTAATATCCAACCTCTGTGGTTCTTTGCACATGCAGGTACATTGGTTGTGAGCATGCAGCGTGACCCTGGGCTACAGGGCTGTGTTTTGCCTTTTGGTGCCTCTGCCCCACCTGACTTGCAGCCAGCAGCGCTCAGCCATCGGATGTCCCCAACTGTACATTGCTTTGTACTGAAATTGCCTAATTCCCAGTGTGTGGTCTGCCCGGAACGCCTGGAAAAGTCTGATCTGGAAAGCATTGGGGATAATGGTAGCAGGGGAGGAAGAGGGAGAGAAGATGATTAAGGAGTGGAGTGTCGCATTTTTCCATTCTCAGACAGCAAATGAACGTTTCAGGCTCTTCGTTTAGGCTGAGCTGCTTGGGAATGGGCAGGGTGTCACCTCCAAGCTCTGAGCAGGCAGAAGGTTGGTGGTGGCTGCATGTGGGTGAATCATATGGAAGCTGGAAAGGGCTGGCAGCTGTTGAGGTGTGCTGGGAGCTGACAGGAAACACGCAGACATGAAAATGTGGGGGATGGAGCTGTGCTTCGTGACCCTTCTGGAGTTATACAAAGAACAGACACAAATTATGGTTTCTGCTTGGGTTGTTTACAGGTTTGTATATACAGGTTATCCAATTAAAAAGAATTCCATATCAGTGAGGTCACTGAAATACGGCTTCAATGCAGGGGGGTTGCCTGCAGTTTGCCCTTGCCTTTCATTCATCCTGCTTTGTGACTGAGAACCCAGTAACGTTTGTTGTACGGTGACTGGACAAGATGCCCAATTTACTTTTGTTCCAAGTATTTTAGTACAAGTGGCTGCAATCCAGCACGTTGTGTCATGCTGAGTTATGTCCCCCTTCTGATGCATCCGATAAATTGGTGCTAAATTTAAATCGGTGCTTTTCTCAAATTGAATGGTTAGTCTGAGCTTCCAGGTGTCCATGATGTCCCAGCACAGGCAATAGCACATCTCAGATGCTACTTCTTGTCTGTCTCTGAAGAATTTCCCTCCATGCTCTTACAGTTGAGAACTTTGCTTGTCCAGGGCAGAGGGAATTTCATCTTTTGCTGAGATGTGAGTGAAGCTTAAGGCATCTGTTCTACATGGACAGAAAGCCTCCAGTGGAAGCTAAGCACGTGCAAGTGCCAAAAAGGCTTAATTCTGCAAACACATTATCCAGAGAAGGAAATAATTTTCAGTATATTTGATTATAAAACTGTTCAATTTCAAACTCAAATGAGAAACTAGAAAACCTTAATTTGAACTTTGGGCAAATTGGTGCTTTGCTGGTTACTTTTGGTTACTTTTGGTTGCTTTTGGTTAGTTTGGGTTACTTTTTCTGGTTAGTTTAAGAAAAAAAAAAACCAATCAAATCTTTGCTGAATATACAAATTAAAAAGGCACTTTCAAAAGAACCTCTGTGACACAGGAGTGTTGATCCCATGGTAAAACAGTGGTACTCGTGCCCCTCAATTATTGTGCAGTCCCACTTGTAGCATGGGGGAGGTGTGGGTAGAGCAGCCAGAACTGAACTGCTGCTGACCTGCCTGGGGTAACCATCAGCAAATCTCCTTCATTTGCAGCTGGCTTTGTGCTCCATTCATGGAACAGGGCAGGAATTGCCCATGGCCCCGGGGACAGATGTGGGGCTGGAGCTGTGGTGGTTGTGTGCAGGGCCCTGGGAGAAGCCAGCGGCTCTAGGAGCAGCAAAGTGCTTTGGGGTCAGATGCAGAGAGCGGCTGAGCAGTGCAGAAGCACTCCCAGGGCTGAGGTACTGTGAAGGGCTCTAGCCGGGTGCTTTTGGAGCCTACAACGAATTGCATTTCAGCTACTTGGCTCAGAGGTGGTGTTGCAAGGCTTGGGTTGCTCTTCATGTATCTGGCATGAGCGTGGTATGGTCAGGTCTGACACACAGGTCCTCTTTCTGCCACCTGGGAACTGAGCTGCTTCTCTTGCAAAATTATAGGGCTTGGGTTTAAGTGGGAGAAAAAGCAGCAGGCCAGAGTGCTAGTTCCTATTGGAAACCAAATTCAAGGAGACCTTAAGGACTTGCACAAAAAGAAGCCATGCTACATTGCAATAGGCAGATGTTTTCCATATGTTGTTCGAGTGAGACTTAAATATATTTGAAGCAGGCATGTACAGCAATGTGAAGTTATATATTTTGGTATGAGCCTGGGCTTCAAACTGAATTATGCGCAGACATCTTAAGAAAATGTGTGAGAGAGGGTTTTGCATATCTGAGTCTGTCTACAGTTGACTTTCTCTGGCTCCTTTCTATTCCTGGAAATGGCATCCTTAACTATTTATGTTCAAATTTACTGTCATGCACATTTAGCTCTCTTAATAACCAATTATTCTTTCCATATGCTGCTTATTTAATTTGAAAGTCTGAATCTCAGAGAAGGAAAAATACAGCTTTTATGTGCTTTCTAGCCTTCTTTGTTTTTTGTTTTTTTAAATCCATTTAAATCACAAGTGTTGAGTGTAGGACTCAATGGAGTATGATCCAAATCTGAAAGCTTGCAAGCAACCCTCTCCTGGTATTGTGTTGGGAATGAAAATCATAATGAATAGGAAATAACTTTATATGCATTGTTATACCTGCTGTGATCTGCTCTATTTGGGCCACGTACTGGGCTCCTTGGGCCAGCCCACAGAAATCAGAAACTCAGGGAGTGGTGGCACTGGAACAGGTTGCCCAAGGAGGCTGTGGATGCCCCATCCCTGCAGGCATTCAAGGCCAGGCTGGATGTGGCTCTGGGCAGCCTGGGCTGCTGGTTGGTGACTCTGCATATAGCAGAGGGTTGGAACCAGATGAGCATTGTGCTCCTTTGCAACCCAGGCCATTCTATGATTCCTCCAGTGTATTCCACACTGCCCGATTTGTGCCGATGACTGGTCCTGCTGCTTCCAGGTGGACACAGATGGTCCAGGCTGCTCCCCAACCACGCCGCACTGCTGTGCAGTAATGCTCTCCTCTACTCTGTTGGCAGGGAACTCGCTGCTGCTGCGTGTCCTGCCTGCCCTATATGAGAAGCAGCCACAGCCAATGGTGCACCGCCTGCCCGAGCTTCTGGCACTGATGGGCCACCTGCAGCCATCCGAGCAGCAGCACCTCCTGCGGCTGCTCCAGCTCATGGCACGGAGGAAAGAGCTCGGGGTAAGGCTGTGTGTGGACGAGCTGCTCGGCTCTGCACCTTCTTCTGGGGGGTTTATCTCTTTCAGATGGCTTGGTGAGCTCTGACTGCTGGTGGCTGTCTCAGTTGGAGTCCACAACAGAGCTTTCCTGTGGTTTGCCATAGAGTTTCATTAATTCCATTCTTTAATTCTATTCCAAATTCTCCATCCGGTCATAAAGAACATAAACGTTGTGGTCCAGCAGTCGTCGTTTTTATAAACCAGGACTGTGTTCTACTTTTTTGGCTCTTCCTCTGTCAGTTGGATTGCAATTCCCATCACTGCACTTCTGTTAGAATTGTATGAACATATCAAGGAAAGCTAGAATAAGTTAGGAACCGATTAAGAGTGAGCTGAAGATTAATTAAGGCACTATGTGTCATGCTCTCAGAATGGCACAACATTCACAGCACATTTGAATAAGACAAAGCTTTGCTAATTTATTAAGTCTATAAAACCTTTCTAAAAGGAGAATCAGCAGTGGTTAATGCCTCCCTCCAAATAGCTGAGGAAGCTTTATCATAACGTGCTGTCACAGATGAAATAGAGCTGCCTTTGGAAGCAAGAGACCAAAGAGCCCCATGTGGCCATGGAGGGGCTCTGCTGGAGCCGATGTGTCTGAGGTCACCGTGTGCCACTGCTGTGTCCTGGCTGGGGACACTGGGGCTGCTGCCCCACTGGGACGTTGGTGTCTGAGCCGAGAGATGCACAAGGGAGGATGTGGAACCCAATGCCATGCCATGGGAAGTTGGTGGAAGGTCTCACCAGTCTGTTCTGAAACGCATTTATGCACATCCCTCAGTTTCCCTGACCCAGAGGTGTGTTAGTAGACATTTAGCAGCACAGGTATGAAAGAATCCTTTAGTAGGAAGTGGAACGTGCTCCGTCCTGCCTGTGAGATGTTTGAAGGTCTAAACCCTCGGCCTCTTGAAAACTGTGTTGTTCTAAGTAATGCCAGCTTGCCCGCGGCATTTTCTGTGCAGCAAGGAGCTAGCCTTTATTTTTAGCTCTGTGCCCACTGTTAACCTTGTCAGGTTGTTTAGTTCCTGGGGGACACAAAATATTTTTTTACCAGTACTTTAATTTACTGTATTGCTAGGGATGACTAAGACCTATGCTGTTTTAATCCTGTAAGTATAGAACCTAAAGCAAGAGAAATGTTGGTGAGGGGGTTGAAGGTTTTTTTGGGCCTTTTTTTTCTTAACAATGGAGTATTTTCTTACTTATATATGCATAACTGTAATATTTCAAGGCTACAGCTTACCCTTCTTCCATATGTTGAGCTGAACTTCTGTTGACCTCAGCAAATAGCTATGTGCAGAGGTCAGTGAGGGTGAAAAGCTATTCCACTGAATCAAAGTCTCACGGTCTGCTTCTAGCCCTCCAATGTACAGCGCCTCTTTTTGTTGTATATATTCACCATTCACAAATACGTCCACAGCTTTCTTCTTTTTTTCTTTTTAAATAGGTGCTGAAAGAATGTCTTCTGTGTCTGTTGGGGCTTGTGAGAGACCCCAACCATAGTGACATTATCCTAAACATACTGACAGAAGTATCTGGCTATGACCCAACGGCCTTGGCTGCGTTTCTTCCAGAGCTAAAAGAAATTGGTGAGAGTTTCCCACATTTGATTGGGCAAACAGCGAAGATCTTTGGGGCTGTTGGACACGTTGATGAGGTAATTAGGAAACTAAAGGGATGGGCTGGTTGGTTCAGCACACGTGTTTTCTTGTTTGTCTGCTTCTTTTGTTAAACCTTATACTAAATATTCTGGAGTAACCAGACAGCATCCTACCAGAAATGTCTCCATGGTTTGTGAGGTGGCAGTATGTCTAGAATGTGGTATCATTATTACTAGAGTGTAGTCTCTTTATTACTGCTCCTAATTAACAGTGCATCTGTTCTCTGTGTGAATACATTCTATTTCTATCATCTTTTTCGGAGTGGCTAAAGCTCCTAGTTGATAAACGCACACGGCTGTCGTTATCCCAGCAGCTTAGCTCAGATTGCAGTGTCTACAGTAAGAGAAATGAAAGGCAAGGAAAAGGAAAAGAAATATTTTGCAGCCCCTTGGTATGATATTGAATTTTAAGTGCATATAGCCTTCAGGAATGTTGTAAGCATGTGATGAAATATGAACTTCCTAATATCATGTAATCCAGCTATTTTGGATTTGTAGTCAGAGTTAATTGAATACTTCTGACAAATGTCTGTATAATGGAAGTGCCCAGAGGCGGTGCTGGGCTGAACCTCATCATGGGAACATCTTCACGTTAATTCAGCTTGGGGTTTGACCTTGTGGGAGCCCTGTGCTGTACAATGATGTACAGTGGCAAACTCCTAAAAGCTGTTTCATGACTTTTAGGACAGAGGTACGAATTTGCAGTGGGCTTCTTGCTTCCATCGTAAGTATGCAGTGCGGAGATGGAATGATGTTCACCAGAGCCACGTGTTGCAAACAGGCTCAGAGTGTGGTCAGCATTGCTGGGCAGCCTGGGCCCAGTGTCTGAACTATTGGGTGTCCCAGGGCACCACGCTGTCCTGGCTTATATCTGACATACCCTGATTTATAATGAGATTTGGGTTTCCATTCCCAGATACAAGCTTACTGTCTTTCCTTGCTAGCAATAGATGTTTTCCTTCTGCCTCAAATCAGTTCTATGAAGGCAAAACTAATGCTCTGAAATCACAGAGTTTTGGCTAAATAAGTCAGGCTTTTATGGCTGTGATAAAACTTGGCTGCCCAGGCAGAAAATGAGTAGTATGTCGTAAGTTGGACCATTTGTGGAGTGTGACACTGAAGCCTGCCACACAGTGACATGGATAATTAATTTCTGCAGAGCTGAATTCCACCAGCCCCTGGACTCTGTGATCCTTGTGCCAAATCAAGGGAGATTTTTCCCCATATAGGCTGGAGAACACAGTCCTGTGTATATAGACAGGGCTCAGTCCCTCTCTTCGAGGTTTTAAAGACTCCAAGAGCTGCAGTGGGCCATGTTTATTTCTGCATTCAGCAGAATATTTCATAGAATGGCCTGGGTTGAAAAGGACCACAGCAATCATTGAGTTTCAACCCCTTGCTATGTGCAGAGTCACTAACCACCAGACCAGGCTGCCCGGAAGAGTACGTCTCTCCTGTTTTAATCCATTGCTTGGTGCAGTTGCACGTAGCTTCCCATGGCCAAACCTGCATGGGATAACTGTCTCTGGGCACTGCTGTGCAGATCAGGCACCTTAAAAGTAGGGAAAAAGCCTTTGAGACTGAATTCACTGATCTACTGAGCATCGCTCACTGCAGCACAGGCGCTCAGCCTGCAATTAGATAAGCAGAAACACATCTGGCATCACGAAAGCTGGACCAGCCTTAAAGGTTCAGCTGATAAAAATGAGTGCACCACAAGAAAGTATTGAAGTTCTACTCTGACTTATGTGGAACTGCTGTGTTCCAGGCATCCCTGCTGCCAGCTAGCTTACGTAGGTCGGGTCCAGCAGGGTGTGTGAGCAGCAGAGCAGTCCCAGAGGGCTGTTCCCTAAGCCAGACACCATGGAAGTGCCTTTTGGAACTCCTCTGCTGCTCCCCTCATCCTGCCCCAGTGCAGGGGCTATGGACGTGAGCCCCCACCTGCAGCCCCTTTCTGGCCAAGCAAAGTGAGTGAGAAATGAACAGTAATGGTAGGGTTGGAATTTTATGTGTTGATATTTGATTTCACTGGAAGGTTCACTTGGCAAAAAGAAGTGGCAAGGATTGAGGGTTGGCCCTTTAGAGCATAGGCTGCAAACATGAGCAGAGGGTCCAGTGGGCGAAGCTGAAATCAGACCCTGTTCATTGGCTGTAAATTAGTGCAAAGCAAAACCCCACCTCGGGGCACAGCTGGGTATTTCAGATTAATTCCTCCAATAAGTGTGTGTTTGGAACCAACTGGAAACTGGAGCTCCTTCTGCCTCCCTGTCATCTCTTTGGTAGTCTCCCCAGCCCAGATTTCAGGTACAGCACAGTGCTTGGCCACACCTCACCAAATGGCTTGGATCCTCACCTCCCAGCAGACAGAGTGCCAGAAAACGTGAGAGATATCTGCAATATCTGCAAGACACACAAAATCAGAAAACACCCGCAGCTCCCAACGAGTTCTGTCCAAACGGGCTTTCTGCTTTTTTTTTGCTTTTTTTTTTTTTGCTTTTTTCTTTTCTTGGATAAAAAATTGCGACGGAGATAATAACGGCTTTCATGTCGAGCTGTTTTGCCGTGACTCTGTTTTGTTTAACAGTTACACATGACATGGCTGGCGGGGTTTATTGTTCTTTCAGCTCGCTCCAGGCGAGCAGCAGCGTTGCAGCGGGCTGGAGGAGCTCCAGCTGGATCAAAGCGACACGGCAACGCTCAGAACTTCTCTTCCAGTTACGTCTGCTGCACAGTTTGTTTAGGAAACAGAAATGTGTTTTAAATGTTAATTGAGCCCATGTTTATCTCTAGGAGGGAGGAATGTCTTCCAAATAAGCTAGGGAATATTTACCCAACAGCCAGCCTCCTTCGAGCCATTGAGAAAAAGGCTCCGCTGCAGCTCCCAGCCCACCCCACAGTACCTGCACTGGTTCTGCATGGGGCTGAAGGGCTCTTCCGACTGCTGCACCGTTCCTCTGTGCCATGACATAGGGCAGCCATTTGCCTTTAGTTTGGAACAAGTTGACTTTTTTCACACAACACGTCTCTCGCAGCTCTCAGGTGATGTCCTGCCAAAGTCTCCCGTGTGCTTTTATGGGCCTGCTGCGCTTGGAAGCCAACCTTCAGTAGTGTTTTCTCTCCTGTTACATGATTCTAGAGGAATTTGGAGTTTCTTCTGAAATCCAAGGCAATACTGCTCTTGCCCTGCAGCGTAGGGAGGTTGCATGTGATGCGCTGCTTCCCCTCCTTACCTGCTAATGCTTGGTAAGATGAGAAGCCTTTATTTTCCTAAAGTGCCTTTGCATGCATTTTGGCACAGGTTCTAATAGCAAAGTTTCTCCCAGTTTCTGTAAGGATCTGCTGGGCTGGAAGGTGTTTGCCCCGACCCAAGCCCTGCTGTCCCACTGGAGGATCCAATATGAGCTGCTGAGCTACTGGCTTCTCCTTCTGCTGCTTCTGCCACTCAGGTGTTTTCAGCACATTGGAACCCAAACTGCTTAGGACAATTATAATAAAACACAGAAACCCCCCATGCATTTCTTTATCTTCAGGGCTTGTGTTTTAGTATGAGAATTTGCATATGTGCACACAGAAATAGTTGGAATTGGATTTGTGTGCACTTGCCAAGCAGAGATAAGGTATCTTTGTTAGAAAATATCTGTGCTTTTTTAGATTAGGATCTGAAACAGCCCCTTTCATCCTAGTTGGCAGGGAATGTGGTCCTGTGGGTAAATTGCTCCATAGAGCTTTGCCTACAAAGGGCATATCAGACTGCATTGTGTGACATGACTGATAGGGCTGCCAGGCAGAAGCTCACCACCAGTGGTGAGACCTTATGATGAAATCTCATGTTAAACTCCTCTTTGCTGCAGTGTTGGTCTCATCTGAGTGTTGCACTGCAGTGCAAGGAGAGCTGCTGTGATATACATATGTGATATACAGGATGCTTGAACTCCTCACCATCAGCCCACGTCTGGGGGGGCTGCAGTGGTACCCAGGACACTGCAGTGCTGAGCTTTGCTGGGAGTACTGCTAAAGGCTGGTCCTGGGGGCAATGCTACGTGCAGCAGTGGATCCAGAAGGGAAGTCGCAATCAAGAAACATATTTGTGCACTGGAAAAAGAGGTATTGGCTGCTGGCTGTGTGCTCATCACAGCTGGGGGCATGCATGGAGCTGGCTGTAACTGCCTGGTTGCTCTAGAGTGTCTGCAGCTGCAGAGGGCAATGTGGGCAAGGCAGTGACCTGGACACATGCCCATTCATGCAGTGGAGCCACAACAAAGACTCCAAGATGGTACCAGCCATGAACTGTGCGGCACAGCCCTGAGCACAGGGTCTGCTCCCCGCTGAGCTGGGGGCACATGAGCACAGCATGTGCCTGCATTTGGCCTCGAGGGGTACCACCCTTCCCTAATGACAGTGCTTTCATTAGCAGCATGCACACATGCCCATGTGTGCCCAATGTGCACACAACCCACCTTGCATGAGCAAACATTGCATTTGTTTGTTTAGAGTCGTTTCTTTTTATCTCCTTGTGTTGTCCAGGAGCAAGCCAGGAAGTGCCTGATGTATTTGGTGAACCAGCTGGCCAACATGGAGCACTCTTTTCACCACATCCTTTTGCTGGAAATTAAGAGTCTCACTGACACGTTCTCTGGCATCTTGGGCACCCAGAGCAGAGACATCTACCGCATGAGCAACAGCTTCACTGCCATAGCCAAGCTCCTGGTCAGGCAGCTGGAGAACAGCAGCTCAGCATCAGCCAGGTAGAGCCGGTGGGTGTGACAGGGCTGTGTGAGCCACTAGGAGCTCCTGGGAGCTGCCATGTTGCTATTTGCAAATTGATCTCGATTATCCCTTGTGTTTTGTTGTAGTTGATGCACATTCAGCTGTTGGATTGGATTGGTTATAGGTCTGTGTGCAAGCTCACCCTTACACATAATGGACAGCACCTCTGTCTGTAGAAGCAACTTAAGGCTGTAGGGATGATCCCCAGATGCCTGCAATGCCAGGTGCTTCTGCACATCACATGGCAGCAGCTGTGTCATTGGCACTGGAGAACAAAGAAGCTGTTCAAGTCTGAGCATTTCCAAAAGCACAGAAAGGAAGCCGTGTCCCACATCAGCAGACATGGGCAATCTGCAAGGCTTCCTTTCAAAATAAACCAGTGAAGTCAGGCTGCGCAACTATCATTGGGTTTACTCTAGAAGATAACCACTGAGGCTGAGAAGAACAATGGCTGGCACAGCTCTGTGACATGGGTTTACTTAAAGAGCTCTGAGTAAATATCCTGAACTTGTACCCAACTGCTGTAGCAATCAGCTTCTCCAAATCTCTGTCCTAAGATTAAAGCATGGGGAGCAATGCTGTGGTTGTTGCAATAAGGATGTAGGTGTCACTTAGATAGCTGGTAGCAGTCACTTTTAATTAGGGAGAGACTTATCACTGGCATTGTGTACACTGACGTAGGTCAGGAGGGCACAAAGGGGATACTAATGCTGTGATATAAAACATAACAGATGTCAGAAAACTCATAACCATGAAGGACAGCCTTGGAGACAGACGTAGGGCCGGAGCCAAAACATGGAGGTCATCTGAGAAACAACTAATTGGTATCCTGGAGGGTTAGAAATGAGAGAGGAGAGGAGCCCTGCTGGAGCCACTCGTTTTGCAGGGCTGGGAGAAACACGCAAAGCACAGGGATTGTGCCTGCTGCCCAGGACTGGCCATTTGATTTGCAGTAGAAAAATGATGCTGTTTGCTAATATGTTGTGGTTTTCCTATGCCTTGTTTAATGTTCTGCATCTATCATTTATCCAAAGCACAGGAAAAGGCTTTTGTTAAAGTGTTATTGTCCCATTTCTCTATAAAACACCCCTTAGTTAAGGACTTGCTTTGCTGAAAAGTAGAAGCTACTTCGTGTGTGTGTGTGTGGATGCAGATGCAAAATACTGCACTGTGTGTGGAGCTGGGGGAGGAGAGGGCAGGGCAGAGCTGTGTCTGCTGTGGAAGGAAATTAAAATACCATTTCAGGCCTGTATCAAGCATAGCATCAGCTAACCCAGACAGGAGCAAGTACTGAGCAGCAAATTCAGGCTAAAATGAGGACCTCCACTGATTTACAAAGAGCTGCTTCTGATTTGTGCTGATGTTCAGTGGGAACGACCCAGAGGCTGACATGGCAATCTGTGCTGGCTGCAGTGCTGCTGCCATTTCTGCTGCAGTGCTTCAAGGAGCAGCAATCCAAAGCAGTTGTGCTGTGGAAGGAATATAAAAGTTTTAAAATGTGTGGCTGGATTGCAACCATTCCTTCCAGAATGGTATGTTTACATAAGAAGAAACTTATTTCTTTGGAATGACGGCTCGCTTGGAGTTGTTTGACACTGGGAATTTTACATGCATTTAGCAGAGAGTGTAATTAAAACCATGTGATGCTCTACTGCAAGTTGTTCCATCTCAGAGGGGCTTTTGAAGAACACATACAGAGTCTTAACAGGCAGATCCAACCAACAAGTGTAGCACTGTCAATTAAGAGTAGGCAGGAAAAGGTAGGAAGAAAAGTTAATGTTTCCAAGCCATCATTCTGGGTAAGGACTGGGGGGTAAGGGATGGCAGCAGTGCTGCTCAGGTTAGCAGCAGCTGGAGGTACCTTTCCTTCCTCGAGTACATGGTGTCGTTTTAGCATTCATTTACTTTTCAGTTGCCTTTCATTTTCTGCAAGGTTATTGGCTTCTGGCAATATTTGGAAGCTCCTGATAGCTTCCTCCCCATGAGTGGAGGCAGGTCCTGAGCTGCAGCCTCTCCCTGCCTGCCCCATGCCATCCCACCATGCCTTCAAAGCTGTCCATTAATGCATCACAAGGACCTGTGCTCCATCCATCCACGCTGCTTCCCAGCAGAGCTGCATCTGGCAGCCATCCCATCCCGCTGTGTTTTCAGTAATTTCTATTTGTGGGCACTCTTCTGCCCACTTGAAGCACAAGATGGGTGATGCTGATATTGGTGATAGTCCAGACAAACGCTCTTTAAATTAATATATCACTCTTGATTGCTGAGTTAGATGGCTTTCTAAAGTTCTCTGAAGAGAGCCTGACAGCAATGGAACAATGAGGAGCACAACAGCATTGAGGGTTTTGCAAGCAAGGTTCCTTGTGACCCATGATAGGTCTGTGCATCCTTTCCCTCTTGAAACCAGTCCGAGCTTTGGTGTAAGCTGATCCCACTCCAGCAACCTCAGCAATGTACCGAATGCCTTTTGCCAAGATTTCAAACAATAGTTTATTTTACTGTTGCTGCAAGGGGAGGCCGGCAGGAAGGGCTGCCAGCATCCTGTTGGGCACAGGGCAGGGGCTTTGCTGCACTCTTCTGAGGCGCTTTTGTCTTCCTGGGTGCTGAGCTGGTATGTGTGAGAGAGCAAGTGGTTGCTGGAGGTCCTGGTATCAGCCAGGTCAGTGCTAAGGTGGGGTGCAAGGTGTGGTGATGAGCTCTGTATTTATTAACATATTGCTTTGTTGATGTCTTTCTTTAGCGGATGCGTTCTCTTGTGTTTCCTTTGCAAAGCCATCAGGGCTCAACTGGAGAATGCTGGAAAAGAAACATAGAATCATTTGTGAATCATGGAATCACAGAATGGCCTGGGTTGAAAAGGAGCACAATGCTCATCCAGTTCCAACCCCCTGCTGTGTGCAGGTTGCCAACCAGCAGCCCAGGCTGCCCAGAGCCACATCCAGCCTGGCCTTGAATGCCTGCAGGGATGGGGCATCCACAGCCTCCTTGGGCAACCTGTTCCAGTGCCTCACCACCCTCTGGGTGAAAAACTTCCTCCTAATATCCAACCTAAACCTCCCCTGTCTCAGTTGAAGACCATTCCCCCTTGTCCTGACACTAGAAGAAAGGTGCTGGTATGAAAGTCCACTCTTACTTCCAGCCGCCATCAAGGTTTGCTGGCTTGGCTCCATAGTTCACAAAGCCATCAGCTCATCCATCCCCACTCGGGGCTTTATATACACACATGTATGTGCAAGAAGCTTGCCTTAGCACTCATCAGCAACAGTGAGAGCAATGTTGAGAGAGCTGCTGGACTGGCAGCTTTCAAATGAACAAAATCTTAGAGTCATAGAATTTGTTGAGTTGGAAGGGACCTTACAATGTCACCTAATCCAACTCCCAGTCCTGTCCCACGTCTCCAGAAGGATTTCTTAGCAAAGGTCATACTACAGTTCCTTATTAGAATATTTCTTTCAGAAACGCTCTGCAGTGTTAATGTGTTATTGCCTGAATCAAAAACCAAACAGGACAAAACTTGCTGAGTCCCCCGAGAGGAATCCTGAGCTGCCTTTATCGAGACAAACAGCGCGCTCTGTGATGCAGTGCTCGCAGTTGTTTTCTTCAAATTTGCTTTCTTTCCACAACTGCTGATTTGCAGTGTTTGAGACTTGTTAAGGGGCTTCCCAGCTGTGAGCACGACTTGCTGAGATGCAATTGCTTTGAGGACGGTGTGTTAAAATCCTTGTTTGTGGCTTTTCTATATCCTTGTTTCGCGGATTGCACCACTGCAATGTTTGCTCCTAAGGTGGAGAAGGAAGCCAAGGGGACCAGAAGCAACACCAGCTTGTTTCAGAACTCCGGGTGGAATTATTGAGAACTTCTCCTGATCCCATTTCTTTCCATGTGTTGAGTTCCAAAACATGTTTTTCTTACTCAGAGTACATTAAGTTAGTACCAACTGCATGTGCTTTTGTCAAATTGTTAAAACCACAGCCCTCTATAAACCCTGCAATTAGCTCTACTTTTGGTTTATGAAAATAATGTAAGAAGTCACTGTTTAGCAAGCTTGGAGGAATGGTTTAAGTTCAGCTGAATAACTTTTCCCAGTGGGACTATCAGGAAAAGAGGTTTTCTGCTTGTGCAGATACAGCACACGCAGTTTCTAATCCAACGTTGTCAGAGATGTTCAGTATTTCTGATCCATCTGACAGAGATGTTGATCTGGAAGATGTTTCTGAGAATGATTAATCAACCTCTAGGTAAATCTGTGCTGAAACAGAATTATTTCCCCAGGCGCGTGACGTGGGTCAGCGGTGGAAATGCAGAATCAGCATCATGAGGAGCAAAGTGTGCTGGAGCTAAATCTCTGCTTTCTGCTTCCCCAGGACAGAAAATGATACAGACACGGTATCCCCTGTGCCACTGGGCAATTTAAAATCTGTTGTGAATGGAAATGAAGAAGATGAAACACTTCAAGAGAAAATACAGGCTTTTGAAGAAAAAATAAATATTGACACCAGTACCCCTGGCTCAGTGAGAAGATACAGCTTAGGCCAGGTTTCTAAAGAAGAAAGGAAGGATATGAGATTTAACAGGTATGGTTCTATTAAATGCACAAGTGGTTTTCAGGAATATCAGTTTCGTAATGAAACGTTATCCAAATATTGAGAAATGGTTCTGTGATACCTCTGGGCATTGTAAGGAGTCTGAACCAACTTCATATCCATGAATTTAAAGGTTGGCAAAAAAATTCCAAGTTATTTATTGAATCTGTTCTGCACTCTAAAACAGCAGGGAGGATGGAAAATGTTTGCAGATGACTGTGGAAAGGAAGATACGGACATGCATCAGCTCTGCGCCTGCTTCCAGGCACTTCCCTTCCAGCCTCCTGTTCTAATGGAGACCTTTGTTCTGTGCTGAGTGTAGGTGTGGGTAACGCAGAGCTGCAGGCTGAGTCGTGGTGCAGTTGAATGGCTGTTGGATGGCATCTTTATGACGTGATCAATAAAGCGTACGCTGCAGGGCTGGGGCTATAAGTTTCTCTCAGATAGGATGATTGGCTCCTTCTATGTCATGCAGATGTTGTGATATCTGTTTAGGACTCAGTTTCATTTGCTTATTAAAACTGCTTGCATTTGCTTTTGAAATGCGTATTTGTGGAAGGCATTTTCCCTTGGCTAAGCTAGCCTTGTGCTCAACTCTCAGAGCTGGCTGCACAGTGCTAACTCTGAAGAGCAAATGTCCAAATGAGTCCTTTCTCACTGCTCACCACACTGTGCTCTGCCGTACCTCCATTCCAAAGCACTTTTCCCTAATTGCATTCCAGGTCCAAGAGCCTGGCTTTGCATGCAGTCCGCATGAAGGGGGTGAACACAGACAGTGGGCGAGACGAGGAGAATGAGGATGTAACAGCTGGGATCTCCTTCACCGAGATCTACGACAGCCAAGAAAATGACAAGTTGCCTTTCAGTGTCGATGCTGAAGAAATGCAACTGGGAAATTCCTTGGTTTCACACCAGAGTATCGATTGCACAGAATCAGAAGGTTCTCCAGCACCTGCTGGAGGAGAGGCCCAGGAAGGAAGCATGGTGCTGGGGAAGGGTCCTGCGGAGTGCCACGACAAGCTCTACCTGCACTTGAAGGAAAACCTGGGTAAAGTGAAAACATACGTCATGGAGATGGGGAGGAGGATTCCTGTCCCTGACCATTGTGTTATTGAAGGTAAGAGGTCTGAGCCTTTCTGGTTACAGCAGCTTTAACACAAGTGTTATTGCAGGACCTGGGCAAATGGGCAGCAAATGCAACAGGAGCAGGGCTGCACTGGAACAGGTTGCCCAGAGAGGTTGTGGATGTTCCATCCCTGGAAGCACGCAAGGCCAGGCTGGATGGGGCTGGGAGCAACCTGGTCTACTGAGAGGCATCCCTATAGCAGGGGTCAGAACTCGATGATCTGAAAGGTCCCTTCCAACCCAAACCATTCTATGATCCAGTGAGAAGCACACACCTGAACAAGCTTATGGGCTGTGACAACACAAGCTGCGGAGCTGGGCCACCACGTTCCTCAAAAAATGCTGCTTGAAAGCAACTGCATAAGGTCCTGGTGCTCCAGTTTAGGCTGCATCCTATTTCACCACACCCCTTTAATGATTCCTGCTTTCATCAAGGGAGGATATTTGTCTTGAAGTGTGAGAGAGCTGCTTTTGTGAGGCCCATGGAGGTGGGGCTGGATTGCAGTGTGCTGCCAAACACATCCTTGATGCTCCTTGAAGGAAAATGATGGAGGTTGGGCTGTAAGCCTCCTGCTCGCACTGAGCAGCTGTTGGTTACTGGGACACAAGGAGATGTGTGCATCAAACCACCTGCTGCTGCCTGTGAGTACTTTGCATTCCAGCCCTTCGTGGCTCATGTTGATTATAGAGAGTAACTCAAATTAATTTCAAGTCTCTTACATCAAATCAGAAGATTTTAACTTCCATCAGATATCTCACTGCCTGTTTTCTTGCTTTTTCTATGGTCAGTGAGTTAACAAGTCTCCACTCATAAAAGAGACATAATTATTTATTATAAAAGCTCATATTTCTGCAGGAATTTCTAAAGAAGGACAAAAATGTCAGGTCTGCTATTTGAAATTGTTATTATTATTGATGAAACTTTTGTTTCATAGAGTCACAATGGAAACATGTGAGGGAGCAGTCTGGCTGGAAGTGCTGAAGGCTGCAATCTTGTGTTAATCAATATTTTTAAATACATTGTTCCATTTGCTTTCTGAAGTACCTATTATGATATGTTCTGAGCATGTGACTATTTCAAAATTCATTCCAACTATTGTAATTTCCTGGAAATCCACATCTAGCATTCTTGGGGAAATTCCTTGAGCAGGGGCACATGTGCAGAACAGGAGATTTATGTGACTCATTCCAAATATGCTCAAAGAAATGTCTGCCTCCTTACACGGGGGACAGCTTTGTTCATATTTCAGATATTACACAAACCACTCCATCAAAAACCTGGCAGCTGATGGGCTTATACGATCCCTGCACACTATAAAGGCTCATTCAAACTTACCTGCTTCACTTTCTAAGTAAAACGTTTAGAAAATATTAACGTGTTTCTAAATGCACACAGTCGGCCACGTGGGGACTTGTTGAATTGGAAATGTAGTATATCAAAGAGAGAGAATGCACACTATAGGCTGTTCAGAGCAGTCATAATTAACGACAGGCCAAGTGCTGTTCACTTCACCAGGATTCAGAACCATGCTTGTGCTTCTAGTGCAGGAGGTGTCCAACCTGTCTACTGAGTTCCTCAGCTCTCAGCCCGGATGCCATCCCCCAAAGCATTGCCTGGGCATGCTGCCTTGGGCAGGAGACACTTGTGTGCTTTTGGAAAGGCACAGAATTGGTGTTTGGAGCCCCTGCCAGGTATGGGACACCAGTACCAAGTGCATCGCTTCCAAGAGTTGGGAGATATTGAAGATTTTCCAGATGTGGTGCAACTAAACGTTCTCTGCGGGCTGGAAAGCAAATGGAGCAAAGAAGAATTATGAAGAAAAACAGATATGTCATGATGACATCGTTAAGTGATTGTCTACATTGATTACAGTCTGAATCCTGAATGACAAAGCAGACCTGTGGGAGGAGTGCGAGGATCATCAGAGCCCCTAAATGCAGGAGACTGAACTGACCTGGGACTGCACAGTCCAGAAAGAGCCAGCTGGCAGGGCTCTGTAAATCAGAGATGACAGAAGATTCGCTGGGAGTGGTGGCTCAGTGTCTGTCCTGTTATGCATATGGGAGAAGATGTAATGAAGTTGTCAGGAAGCAAACTCAACAACACATGCAAAATAGGAGCCTCTCACCACGTAATTAGCCGCATGTAATTTCATGGCAGAACTGATTGCTACAGTGCATTAATTATACTGAAAATTATACTGTACCTGCTTTCACAAGTGATTAGGTAAATTCCAGGCTGAGAGCCTTTCAGCCAGGCAAATATCTGCCTTAAAAGAGCAGAGACCAGGGAGACCCAATGCATCATCCAGTTCTTGGGCACTGAAGCTGAATTCAATGAACAGCATCTCAGCCCCTCAGTATCATGCTCTGCTCCTGGTACTGTGATGCTCTGCCATGGGCACACATGTTCTGTGGCTTAGAGACAGAGTGCTGATAAAGGAGGAGGTGGCAGAGAAGCAGGTTGCAGCTGAATCTGGTTGTTGTTAAGCACTCCGTTGTGCTGAGGGGTAATTGGTACCATACAGTGGAGGTGATGGAAAAGCTCACAACTCCCCTGCAGCGCTCACCTCCGCCGCAGCCCGGTGCTTCTGCACTGATTGGAAGCAGCTGCGGCCCTGGTGGGGCCATGGAGCATTGGGTGCTGCCAGGGCTCTGCTCTTCTGTGCCAGGGATATACCAGTGGGGATTTTATCCTGCAGAGCTGCTATGAGTGCTTGGATTTGACCCAAAGGCACAGGATGGTCCTTGTGCTCACGGGATCTGCAGAGGTGTCCCCAGAGCAGGGGGCAGTTCAGCAGGAAGGTGGATGTGCTCATGGCCACATGGACCTCTCCAGACGCCATTTATCCTGAGGTAGCAGCCTCCCACTGCGGTTTGCTATTCCATACTGCAGAAGCCAGGGGCCATGGCCATAGGAGTGGCACCATCTTGGCCTCATGCAGCGGTGAGCAGCCCTCGGTGCTGGTGCTGAGCAGAGGAACACCCTCCCAGGTGCCTCATAACCCCGGCAGTGAAGGGCGAAGGAAGGCAGGCTAGGTTAGGTTAGGAAGGCAGAGAACTGTAATGAAGTTGAGCCAATCTGTGTGCTCCCAAATGTGGCCTTTGCCACTCAGATTTGAGCTCTGTTCTGATGGTGCTGCAGGGGCCGCCCAGTGCCCGCCAGCATTATGCTATCTGTGTGACAACATGCGTGCCCTGCACTGAGCCATGTGCATGCATGGCTGGTGGTGCTCCAGGAAGTGATCATTTCCTGAAGCTGACTGCTCCAATCGTTACCCTTTTCTCCTACAGTTATTCTTTGCATCCCTATCTATAACCCAAACTGAAGGGAAACTGAGGAAATGGTTGAAAACCGCCGTTATAAAAGTCATATTCATTTCCTCTTCTCCAGCTCTGTGTCTATGGGTGGGTTTGATTCCAGATGGGAAGCTGATAAGCATACCTCCTCTCCTATTAACAGGCTTCACTTAATGGTACAAGATTACCACTGTAACTCAAATAATGCATGGATTGTTCCCAAGCAGTGGGTTACCTACCTGTACCTAGAAAGCTGGAGCAGCTCTGCTGACACACACTCGTGCTCACATTCATTCACCTGGGCACTGTGTGCACCAGAGCCATCCCCAGGCATGGCAGTGCCCAGCTAGGGGCAGCTATACCTCTGGTATGCGTCTGACTTTCATATTCTTTCTACTTACTTTCAGATACCGTGAGAAGCTGTGTAGCAAAGCTGTTCTTCAGCTGTCCCCTGAAGGGCCACTACTGCCTCTACAGCAAATCCAGCTTCACACTGCTCAGCCCTCAGCCTCCACTGTGGATCCACATCATGTTCCTCTTCCAGCAGGTGTGTGCAGGGCAATGGTGGGGCACATCTCTGATGTTGTGCTTGGAACAATGTTTTAGGGGTTAATCTGTTGGAATGCACTCCTAACCAGCTGGGTGAGCTTTTGTGACTCGAGTGATTGCTCACCTCTGAGGTTACATCATGGCAGATTGAGGTGGTTTTGCAGTTTGTAAGGATTTCTCTTAATTAGTACACTGTTCAAGATGAACTTATTGTAAAACAACTGGGTCCTAAATTGTTTTTTAACCTAAATAGATTCGATCATTGTCATTCACCCTACCCTACTGCACACTCCAAAATGCAAAGGGTTTATCCGGAATGTGGAGCTGATACACAGTGAGTGACGCTGTGAAGTCAGCAGGTCAGGTCACTCCTCCCTCTGTTCCTAGAAGTGAGTATAGAAATGGTTGGAAAAAACAATAATGCAGTATGGCTGTGATGCCTAGGTCACAATTTCTGCAGATTTCCACACTGGTCACCGTGTTTCTGTTCACTGATTGTTGCTCATACTATGTTCTCTTGGACTCTGCAGCAGAAGAAGCAAGAAATAGTTTTTCTCTATGGTCTCCAGAGCAGACCCTCAATTTCAAGACTCTGCTTTTTATTGAATTTCAGAAATTTTAATGGGTAGCTGTCTCGTGTTTCAAACATCTCAGATGGAAGTTGTGAAACTCATGTACTGCTGTTTTCTTGGCTGGGCAGCTCTCGGTCAGAAGGAAGGCAGCACATTTCAGTGCAGAGCTGATTGTCAGACAGAAGAGTGATAACTAACAGGAGGAAGAAAATGAGAATATGGGTACCTGACACAGGAGGTGCTCTTGGATTCGGTCATTAAAATCGTGCTGTACCACCATAAGACTCGGGGTTGCTTTCCCCCATTGGTGTGCAGCGCCCAGCACTCCCCCTCAGTTGGTCTGAGCCCCAGCTAACAGGCTGCAGGCTCCTCATGCCCGGCGGCAGCCTCAGGCACTTTGTTTCTCAGCTCTAATTCAGGCAGGGCAATCCAGCTGGGTTGCACGTGTTGTGCAATCCAGCATTAGAAGTACGGAACATTGGATTTGCTTGTGTGCTCTTAACTTGGCTCCAGCATGCAAATGAATTTTCTATTTACAAGATCATGTTGTAGATATAGTAGAGGAATAATGCTAAGCTCTCTTAGCCACTCTTTTAATATTGGCTTTGTATGCAGTTCATATGGTGAAGAACCTACCAGCACTGCAACAGTAGAGTATTTCAAGGCAGAGTTAGGTTGCATCCCAGACCATTGGGGTCTTGGAGGTGACAGCCCTTTCAGCTCAGTGCAAAGCCCCAGGAGCAGGTGAAACCTGTAGGCATTCATCTAACATTGTGCATGTATATCCATCATCACTCCTGAAAGAGAAATGAACTAGTTGCTTGTTACCTGCACAGCTGCCGTGGTATGAAAAGGAACAAGATGCTCTTGGTTAATGGCTGAGCCAAAAATGCTCCAAATGCACTTTCCAACATTTTTTTTTCAGAGCCTGTTTGCTGAGCCTTTGTCAATGCAGAGTAGTTCCGTGCAAGTCCTCAAGGCCCTATGGGAGAAGACACAGCTCAAGGGGACGCACAGTTTTGAAACTGCCATGATCCAGTCTACATTCCCACACCAAAAGGTAAGTATGCTTTTCCTCTGAGAGAAAAAAAAAAAAAACTTTTAAAATAGCTGTAACGAGTGTTTGCAGTGCTCTTATTGTGAAAAACAAGCCCTTTTCCCTTCCTTCTTCCCTTGCCATCCATCAGAAGTTCTGCAGATTAGGAAGTCCAGGGAGGTGGTGGAGTCACCATCCCTGGAGGCGTTGAAGGGACGTATAGATGTTGTACCGAGGGACATGGTTTAGTGGGAAATATTGTGATAGATGGATGGTGGATGGTTGGACTGGATGATCTTAGAGCTCTTTTCCAGTCTGAGTCACGCAGCCGCTGGGAAATTTGCCTCCTTAAACACAGACTTGACTGTTATGAAGATGATCATTTGCACACTCACCATTGCTTGCCCCCACCAGTTAAAAAGATTACTCTTTCAAAGCTGTTTACTGTCTCCAGGATTTCAGAGAATGCCATTTCAAAGCTGTTAATCGGGCTTCTTGGAAAAGGACGCTATAGGATTGTGAAACAAATATCTGTTCATCCCCGAACATCTCCATCCAGCGAAATGGGATGAAATGCACTGTCAAACACGGTTTTAAAACACTGTCTCTCAGGACATTGGAGGCATAAACATGTTTGGCTGAATAAGATTAATTTACAAAAGTTGTGGGCAGTTTAAAAACAGGAGTTTTATTAGAGACAGCTTCTGAACCCCCAAGCTTGCACTGGACAGAGCAGGGAGCTGCTGCCGCAGTGTGAGAGCAGTGGGTCACAGCTTATGGGCCATTGGACATAGGGTCGGCAGAGCCCCATCCGGCCTGTTATCTGCATGGAAATCCCAGCTAGAGTCATCCAGAGGAATTAGGGATGTCTCTGTTTGCACAGTGCCATTTAACTTGGATCCTTGTCATTGGTCAGGTCAGAGCTGGTGGAGCACAGAAGGGTTTGGGGTGAATAAAGGGTTTGGAAAAGAGCGTGCTTTCATGAGGCTTAGATATAGTGCCCTGTGTGTTCCCATTCTGAAAAATGCCTTGAAATGTCATCAGTCCCCAGCGCGTTGGTTGCACAATCCTGCTGCTGTCAGAGAGGCATTCAGCCTGTTTGGGGAACTCCTGGCACTGCCCAACAGGAAGAGCATCTCCCAGTTCCTGAAGTAGTGGGGCTGAAAAATGAGATGCTGATCATTTGTGACGGAATGGATGGGCAGAGGGAGCTCCAGGAGATGCTGGTTATGGGAAGAGCTCCGGAGGCCAAGGACTGTTGGACTGATGTGATGCACCTGAGAGGGGAATGGCTTCGGCGGTGCTCCCCGCACCGTGCTGCTGCAACTACTTCCTCCATTTTTGTTTTGCATGTAACGTAGAATCTGAATTTGGGTTCCGTGATGTTTCTGTTGAGCAACTGTGTGAAGTCTGATGGAGCTCTCATGGACGGGGACCTGGGCCTGCTGGGTGGAAGGAGGGTTCCTTTACCTTTACCTGCCAAAACCTGATGGGAACACTCATGGTGTGACCCAGCCATCGCTCTGCCCAGCAGGCTGTGCCTCCCAAAAACCTAATGCTTTGGTGTCCAAAGTCTTCCTGTCACCAATGGACTCCAAAATAGCGAATGATTTGACAAAACAATTGCTGCTGTTAATCCCGCTCCTCTTCTAATAGCACAGAAAGCAGATTTCTGGATGTTTTCCTTTAAAATGTTTTGAAATCTCTTGGTGACGTTTGGAATACGCTGAGAATGAACACCGTGTTCTCTACCCAAGTCTACCCACCCCATGTCACAGCACTGTCCGAATGGCTGTGCCAGAACTGGGGATGCTGCTGATGATGTGGGAGCATGCAGGGAACACTGCAGGCTGGCAGCCAGCAGGCACCCAGCAAAGCCAATGCTGTGACCTCTGCTCCACTATAAATCAATGCAGACGTTTCCTTGATGCGTATTCGAAAGAGTGTTGCAAACCAGCAGGAAAAGCTATTGCACCAGTGATTTATCCCAAAGTAAATTCTGAGCAGTATTTCCAGCTTCACCTCGCTGTCGGAATTCAGAACTGGGCCAACCAGTGCATGCAAGGAATTGCAGCAGATGCCTTGCAGTGAGAATGCCCGTATTGCTGGGCAGTGCTGTCCCAAAAGCCAAATGGACAACGGGATCGTGCCACAAAAAATATTGATTCAACACAGCTCAAAACGTGCCGGGAGTAAAGTGCTTCCAGATGTGCATCCCTACAGATCTCCATTCCGTTGCCTCACTGCTCTCTACCCAGGCGTACGAAGGCTGTGCTGGTTGCAGCTGTGCAGAGTGTGTTGTGTTGCATCGTGGTGTGTCAGAGCAGACATTCGGTTCCCTCTGAGTGCCTCTTGCTGAGCAGCTTTGCAGGAGAATAGTTCACATTTTTAAGCCACTGTTGGCTCTGTCCTTCTCTGCTCTTTGTCTGCCTTCTCCCTCTGTGCAGCAGAATGAGGTGCTGCGTTCTCACAGTGCGGTCACTGACGTTTCCCAGATGATGGAGGGCAGGATGAGATGCATCTCTCCTCTCCAGTGAGTCATTTTCCCTATGCTTCATCTCCCAGAATCAGCTCCTTGTTTTGGCATACAAGGAATACAGAGTGAAAAAGGACAATGGCTGCCTCAGTATTTCCCCAACATTTGCCTTTCACATGGCTCACTGCAGACGTTGGAAGGTTTCCCTCAGGATCCCAGGCTTGTTGTTCAGCTCCATCCTCACAGTGCCCTGCACAGACCCACTGGGAGCAGTGCCCCATGCGCTTTGTCCACCTCACAGCCCCCAGGTGGGTGGGAGGATGGTAGGGGAGGCTGTGCACCTCTCCCATTGCACAGCACAGCAGCCAGACGCTCCTGAGCTGCATGCAGTTCCTCTTCAGGGGGCAGTAAGCACCTCAGCAATGCAGACAGAGCAATGCAACCACATTGTGCTGTGATGTGCAGTGCCCTGGGGCAGGGCACGCAGCCCTTCCTGCCCCAGCAGATAGAAAAGGTGAGAATAGCACAGCTCCCCTTTGCTCAGTGGGGTGAGCCCATATCCCTGGCAGCACAGGGTTTTGTTCCCATCTACTGCATGAATTCTTGTTTTCTTTGGGCTGTGCTGCAGACTGGTGATGCTCCCGAGGAAACAAGCAGGAATGTTTTCTGAGCCTTCCTGCCTGCTCCTTCTGCACAGAGAGCGTTGTGGTTGTTGTTATCTGACGTCCATTTAAATGTGAGGTCATCATCTTTATATAAATTAAATGGTGGGTTTTAAATGACAACAAATTACACCATGTTTTAATGGCCTCAGACAGAGCATCTCCTGGCTCCTTCTGGGAGCTGCAGCTGAGCTTTCTGCAGGCCTTTCATAGAGACAAGCATCACCTTGGCTTTTTGGCCCAGCCCTCACTTTGCTGCCTGCTCTCGGTGGAAGGATAGCATCACATGTACCTGGATGTGTTTTGTGCAGGATAAATCCATCCTGTTGTTGCTTCATTTCTGGAAACATTCACATTGACATTTTAAAATGTTATTATTATAGTGCTTCTTGTATGGGGCGTGGGTTCAGAACTTTCTTCTTTATAAACAACAACAACAAAAAGACAGAAAAAGGGAAAGAGCAGCCGCTCCCTCTGGCTGCACTGGGAACCCATGGACAGATCTGACCTGCTGTCAGACAGGAGGTCCCCAGCATGTGGAACCACTGCCCTGGGGGTCCTAGAGAACACTGAGGGCTGGAGGAAAGGAGGGGCTCAGCTGTGGGCTCTGGTGGAAGGGAGGAGGAAAGCACTCAGCCCCATGATTTGCTTCTAGAGAGCTGTTGCAGTGGGTGCTGCCAATGGCAGAGAAAGATGTCCTGCTCAGCAATTTACCTGGGCAGGCTGTTTTTCAGCATGAGACCAGTGAGAGAGGGCACTTGTCAGCTCCTGCTGTGATGCAGGGTCCTGAAGCATAAGGGGGTTTGGTTTCTCTTCCTTATTGGCCCAGGATCTGGACCACGTGCAGATGCACCTGGAAGAAGTGAGGTTCTTTGATTTATTTGGCTACAGCGAGGAAGCGGGAGCCTGGCAGTGCTTCATGTGCAACAACCCTGAGAAGGCAACAGGTGAGTGCTCTGCTGGCGGGCTGCAGCCAGGGGTGCATAGCAGTGTGGTTCTGCACTGTGCAGGAGTGCTGGTGGTGGTGGTGGTTGTGCAAAAGCAAAGCTAGCTTTCCAGAGTAGCAGAGATGCTGTCTGTTTCCATTGGAACTCTCCATGAAACTCATCTCAGCGTTCCTGGTGAGATTTGGAATGTAAACCCACAGCTGTGCATGATTGCTAATGCATGGGGAGGGCTCTGTGCCCATCCTGCAGCACACAGATAATGGGGCTGCCTCTGCCTGGCTGCATCCCATATGCCATCCCTTAGGGGCCATCAGCACTGATATTGCACCTGACCTCTGTCCTCTGTCAGGACATCCCAGGGAGGTTGTCCAGGGACTCTACTTCCTTTAACATCATTGTGTCTGTAAGGCACATCTTAAGAGCAAGGCAGCACTTAGGAACAGCCTTGATACTTCAACTACGTTAGAAAATAAGGTGAGGAGAAATGAACTTTGTCCCAGGTAAAAGATTCTGGTTCAGGATGGCTTTTTCTTGGATGATTTTGCCACAAGTTGACTGCATGCACAATTCTGGCTGAGAACTATGAATAATTTGGCCAAGCCTTCGAATAGCTTGCTGATTCAGCTATCTGCTTGAGCAGCTGCCCTCATTCCATGGGGCATTTCCCACTCTTCCTCCTTCTGTAGCTCTCATATGGGACTCATCTACTGCAGGAGAAGTCATGCTCTGAGCTGTAAGTCAGTCCAGTGGCCTTACTGTGCTTTGTCCATCACATCAGAATGAGATGGATGTCAAGCCATGAGGAAAATGAGCCCATCTTGTTTAAAACACCAAATCTTATTGGAGCTCGCTCCTCAGTTTTTAATGCCCTGAGAAGTCAAGTGAATGAAACTGCTTAGTGGTAATACAGCTCAGATGCACGAGAGGGAGGAAGATAGTGCTTAGTGGATGAAAACCTGCAGGTAAACATTCCTGAAATGGGGGTGTGGAGGTATGGGAAGAGTGGTGCCAGAGTGGGAGACACTCGGGGCTCATTGGGGGGGTTATAAGACAGAAGAAAGGGCTCCAAGGTCTCCTGGAGTGGGAGAGAAATGTAAAGGCTGCGACACATCTTTTATCCTGTTCCACAGTGGGACAGAGCCTTTGGAAATCCCAAGTACTTTTGAAAGACAAGAAAGTCATTCCTCCCTCTCAGCAATGCTGTTTAGCAACCCGGTCCTTCAAGAAGGAATTCAGAAGCAAATTCTTTTTCCATTATTTTCATTTGTTTTCTGCTAATGTTGGGTTTTTGTGACATTTTTTTTGATACCGTGTTGCAAGATGCCATTTATCCTGGGGACTTAGGGAAGGATTATGCCCTGAAGCCTGGATCTTGCTGTGCTCTGTGGTGCTGTTTGCAGATGCAGTTGTGCTTCAGCAATGCAGTGGATGAACCCAACGCAGCAATCAGCGCAGAGAAAGTTTGACCATTTCACATGCATTCTTCTCACTTGAAAGCATTACTTAGACAACCACACTCTTCCAGAAGTGCTGCTAAATCATCCTGAGTTGTTTTGCTCCTGCTCCCCCTGAGCCAAGGAGGGAGGGAGCATTCCTGCAAGCCCGACTCATCTGCCCACATCCACACACGCTGGCTCTGCTGCTGGTCCCAGAGCTGGGAAGACCAAACTGCACCATTTTCTATTTTTGTTTTTTTATAACAATAACCATTCAAGTGTGGATGTAAGGCTTTAGAAGCGTTAGTCAGCACTGCGTGCCTCTCGTTGGGAAAAGCTGGCTTTTAGGAGCTGCGTTTCAACATAACCTCCCGCGCTGACAGTTGGCTCGCAAGCCTTTGCACACCAAAAATTCAGTAAAACCACTTGATAGCCTGCGAGGGAATTGCAGTGCATGCCTTGTTCTGGAAGCTTACAAAGAAATCGCAGTAATCCCCGTGGGCTGCAGAGGAGACATCGTGCCCATGGGCAATGATTCGGGTAAAACGGAGGGCTTTTTATGAATTCCTCCTTCAAAAAGCAATTCCCTCAGAAGAGCCCATGCCGTGTTAACTTGGGGATGCATTTATCTTTTGCTAGCAGTGGTGATTATCTGGTGAAGCGAAATATCCCCGCTGTAATGCTTGCTTGAAAAGTGGCATTCAGCAACGTGTCCTTTCCAGGTTTTCAACAGAACCAAATGCGATGATTAATGAAGGAGAGCCAATCCATATTCCCTTAGGTTAATTGCATTTATCTTCTGCCTGCCACCCACACATTCCATTTTTTCAAGTTAAGAGGGGCTTATTATCATTGAGATCATTCATGATGGGACTGAATTTTTGTGGATGGCTTCGTTTCATCAAACAGAAGATTTAATGCTTTGCTTTTTTCTTGAGTTCATCTTGGAAGGGTGTCAGGTTTTGTTTTGTTTTTGTTACTTTTGTTCAGTACCCAAACAACTCAGAGCTTGGCGCACTGTAATTCTGCAAAGAAAACAAGATACAGGCAATACAAAATAATTCCAGCTTACATCACGGTGGACACTTACATCAGTGGGAATTATTTGGGGTTGAATTGATTTTGGAGTTAGTCTTCCTCCACTGCAATTGTTTAAAAAGCAACGGATATTATGTAGGAAAAAAAACATCGTTTTTATTTTTAGGGTACTATTTAGTATAGACCCAGTCCAATAATGCTTACGTGGAGAAAATCTCTCCCCTTTGATCAGTATCACACCAGCATACTTCTCTAAAGATGCCTAAATCTGTTCTTTAAAAGTAAGTGAAGGACAACTCAGGAGTTGTTGCTTAGGTAAATCGACCTCCTGCTAAAATGTGGGATTATTTCTGCCTTGTTGCTGAGCTCTGGATCTCAAGGTGCCCTTCCCTGTTCTGAGGAAAATTGCTCTATGCAGACTTTATCACGTCACATCTAGACCTGTGCTTGAGAAACTGGAGAGAATGCACTTCCTCAGTTTCCCATGACATGAATGGTCGGATAGCAGATCAGCCATTTTTGTATCGCTCTTCTGGAGCCTTCTCAGTTTGCCTAGAGCTGAGCAAATCAAAACTGGACACGATATTCTGGTGATTAGTATGTGTATAGAGAAAGTGCGTGTTCCACCTGCCAGCTGATGGCACTTTTTTAATCCTCCTAACTGCATTAACAGTGCGGATGCTTCTTCCACATAACGATGCTCTGTGTGGTAAGCCATGGGTCAGCAGGAACTGAGTTTGGTTCTGGCAAGAGTTCACAGTGAATCTCTGCCTTCCTGGGGCAGTGTGGGTCCACTCCCGATGCCCTGTGCCTGCACGGCCCCATGCATGGATTCCTACTTTGCACACACCGTGCATTCAATGGTGGCCAAGTAAAATCCCAGTAAGGACTGGGGTGGGCAGCCCTGGGAGCTTTGGGGAAGTTCAGATCAGCTGCAAAGGGAAGTTTTCCCACTGTAGGGATGGTCAGTCATTGGGGCAGCTTGACTGGAGGTGTCGCTGAGATTTTCACATCCCAAATCATTAAATCTTTGAGCAACCTGGCCTGACCCCAGAGCCAACCTTGCTCTGAGCAGGAGGTGGGATGACCAACCCCTCGAGCTCCCTTCCAGCTGAATTATTCTGCCTCTCTGTGAAGTTAACTGCAATCAAAACAAGCAAAAGGACTTAGAAAAAAAGATTGGAAAAGAGCTTCATTCTTATCTTTCATGAATCTTTTTCTTCTAATCAGACACTCAGACATACTGGCATCTGCTTCATTATCACAACTTTGGAAGCTGACATCAGAATTCCCCATGGACCTCTTAGTGGATGTAGGCGAGAAGCGCTCTGTTATCATTGGTTCCAGCCCCGAGTGCTTAAAGACAGACCAGCATTTCTCCAGTAAATCCTGTTTGTGAAAGACTTTGGCCATGAAAATCCAGTTTAGGCCAAAATTACACGTTAACTTCCTTTCCCATGTTGCTTTCCTGACCACCAACCATCTCAGTGCCCAAACGTTTTGTGCCTTAAAGCTTCTTAGTTTGGCTTAAAACATGTTCCTACTGCCCTGGAATCAGTACTGCTTCACAAAGCCTAAGTTGCTGATTGAGCAACTGATTGAGCAACTGTCTTTCCATATCAAATCTTTCTATAGCTCCATCCAGATGACATCAAGGTCTGAAAGTTACTGTGCACGTAATGAGTCATTTAGAGTGTTCATTCAGAAAAAAGATTCTTTCCACCAAGAGGCTGCTCACGTGAATGGCAAATGATGGGAATGATGGAGGTATGGGGCTGCGAGGAGTGCAGAACGACCTCTCTTTATCACAGGAATCACCGGCACGGTTCCCTGTTGTGGCTAAAACTTGGCCACCCCATTTTCATTCAGTGTATCTCCTTCCAGAGACGGAAATATTTACAGTCTTTCATGAGGAAATTGAAGCAGTACACACTGAAGACCCCCAAAGCGTGTGTTACTGCCAATGTAAACAGCGCTGGGGAAAAAAACCACATTCCTGATCTAAACCTGCTGCATCTGTCACCGCCTTCTGCCCCAGCTGTAGGAGCACCGCAGTGCAGCTGGGGGGAGCAGAAGCTGGTGTGTCTCCCTCTCTTCCTCCTCGCTGACCTGGGCAGATCTTTCATTTAACACACGCTCCATACCGATGGCACTCACCCATGCATTGCACAAGTGCTGTTTTTGCTGTTGCCACCCAGGGAAGCAGAAAGGCGGTGGTGTTGGTTGATGATAAGTAAGTGAATTTTGTTGCAAAAGGCCCAGGGGAGGTTTAGGTTGGATATCAGGGAAAACAACTTTACAGAAAGGGTTGTTAAGCAAGGGGCTGCCCAGGGAGGTGGTTGAGTCACCACCCCTGGATGTGCTTAAAAACCGCTTGGATGTGGTGCTCAGGGACACGATTCAGCAGAGGGCTGTTGGAGTTAGAGTGGTATGGATAGGTTGGGGTTGGACTTGATGATCTTTAAGGTCTTTTCCAACCTGAGAAATTCTATGATTCTATGAAAAATGTGGGCGTGCAGCTGGAAGCACAGGCAAGCCATGCTGGTGGGCACACAGCAGTGAGTGGGGAGCGAGATAACCTGTCCATAGCACTGCAGAGCAGGAGCAGAACTCTGTGCTGAACTCTGCAGCATGGCGTGAAGCCATACAGACAACATAAGTGCTGGCCTCCAGTTGTACAGAGTAATAAATTCTTGCAGGGCTGAGGAACAATTGGGAGGCGTGATGCTGAGGATAAGTATGTGATGAACGAGGGACTGAAGGAAGAATTGCAGCCTGCTGCAGCTGCCAGGCCTCCCAGGCAATGTATGACTAAGGCTGGGCGCTGGGGTCAGGAGGAATGCAGGCAGAGCTGTCAGCCAAACTGTGGATATTCAGCACTCTGTGGAGATAACCCCTGCTCTGTGATCTCCCCCACAGAAGTGAACCAGGACGGGCAGCCGCTGATGGAAGGCAAGCTGAAGGAGAAGCAGGTCCGCTGGAAGTTCATCAAGAGGTGGAAAACTCGCTACTTCACCCTTGCTGGAAACCAGCTGCTCTTTCGGAAAGGAAAATCCGTAAGTGTGGAACACATCAGCTCACCTTCTGTGTTTATCTCCTCTGCATCACCATTCCCAGGGGCTCCATCACATGGCTTTTGCCACGGACCTCACGCTCCACCCAGCCGCCTCCAGCTGAGCCTTTGCTCCCGGCGCCTGCTGGAGAAACCAGTTCTATCCCAGCTGACACCAGGGTGCTCCAGCACCACGAGTGCATCCACCACCAATGGAACGGTGATGTAAATCTGGCTGTCCATCCTGCCTAGCAATTATTACACTGCATAAACACCACTTCAATAAACTCCGCTTAGATAAATATATTTTCCCCCTTGCAGAGTGTTCCCATAACAGGCATTGTTTGTGCAGGAAGTGCAGGTTTGTTTAAGGCAAGGTGATGCCAAAGTGCTCCTCTCCCAAAGGAACCCAGTGCTGTCTTTCACTTCTTGCCCTCATCTAAATTCAGGGCAACTCTGCTGAAATTTCTGTGAAATCATTTGGAAGTGACACCAGTGTGACTCAGAGTCAAGTTCATTGCTGGGCATGGACGAGCAGGTAATTAAATCCAGTCCTCATTAGTTCTTACTTGCCCGTTAGTAGAAACTAACTATCCTCAGCTGTTCACAATGAGGATTATCAAACATGGCGCAAAAAAAGGCCTTTTATTTTTGTTGCAACAGCACTCTCTTTGGTAATCCAAAAATAGCAGCATCCTCCAGCTGCAGCCAAGCCTTAGTATTTCTGGTAAATAATCTTTTTCATTGCAGAAACCCAGCAAAGCTCTTTAAGCCTCTGAAATGGCTTCCTGAGCCCCTTCCTCTGAGGACTGCAGCAGGGAGGGCATTGGCCCTTGCAAACAGAACAGCTTTTTCTTTACTTTCTGATGACTTACTCTGATGAATTGAGATTTTGAAGACATTTTAATCCATATAGAGCCTCAGCTTCTGCTCAGGACTGGACGAGGTTCACTTTTTGTAGTGCTGGAGCAGTTGTCATTTCTTTTAGCATGGTGGTTGGCTGAAGGAAATGCATTTAACGGAATGGATTTAATTAGCTGTGCAAACAAGGCAGGCAAAAGTCACACTGAACACCTTGATTCCCCCGGGATGCTATTGGCATGGAGCAGTCGCCCCAGCACTGTGCTCTCAGGGCTCTCCTGGTTGATGTGAGGAGATGGTCAGACAGCAGAGTTTGCTAAATGGCAGAACTCATGTGGGTTAACTTCACTTTCTTAGCTGTCAGATCCAAGCTTCTTTGTTTCCTCTGGAGCTGCACACAAATATCTGGCTCCTCGAGGAGCAGACTGGCATCCAGCCCCCAGGGACTGAGGTGGTTGTGCCTGGGCAATCAGTCCTCCAACTGCTGCCTTATATCCTGTTACCACTACATTTTTTGCTTAAATTAGAGAGTTGAGATGTTAACCATTGCCTGGGCTGCAGCACGGGAGCCCCCATGCCCTGCAGCAGCCTGCGTTGTATGCAGGCCTGGGTTTGACTGTTGCACACACCAGCAGAGGGGCTTCCCTGGCTGTGCATCGTGCTGTGTCTTGCTTCGTGTCTGCATCTGGTGGGAAGGGGCAGTTTGCTCTCAGTGCCACAAAGTCTGTCCAGCATTGGACTGTGAGCAGACAGCGAGATGCTGTGCTGGGGCAGCAAGCAGCAGCAGGGAGGTCCCACCAGCAACAGGAATGGCTGCAGGACACACCAATAGCACTGCAGCCATGAGGGCTGGTAAATAACTCTGTATTTAGAAAAGAAAGAGGTTCTGCCTCATCTGGTGCTCATTGCAGGGCTGAGTGGGACAGCTCTGCTCCAGCTGCACAGAAGATCCGGCACTGCTGCTGAGGGATGGGCACACGGGGGTGCTGGGACTGTCACACTGCTTGCCTGGAAGCCCAAAGCAGCACAGAGGAGGCACGGCAGGGCGGCCAGCTGGCTGTGAGTGCCTCTTTCCCACCACAAACCTTTCCTCTGCAGATGTACCCACGCGGATGCTCTTTGCTCTGAGTAAGCAGTGGGATTGCCAGCGGGTGAAGGGAGGCAGGAGAAAACCAAAACAGAAGAGGTTCAAAATGAGCCACATCCCATAGTCCTGGAAAAGTGTGGTAAACAGTATTCACAGAAATGTGCCATGGGTACAATCAGCTTTCTTGAGCAGATTTCAGCAGTGTGTACACGACATCCCATCAAGGGAGCATAGTGGTTTTGCTCAGTACCTGTTGGCAGGTTTTCCCCCTGAGCTTGTTGTTGTTTTACATTTGCTGTGATAAAATTCTCACTGTTTAACGCGGGTCTGATTTCAGTGCAGAGCTACTTATTGCTGTCATAGAATCCTAGAATGGCCTGGGTTGAAAAGAACCTCAACCCCCTGCTGTGTGGAGGTCACCAACCAGCAGACCAGGCTGCCAAGAGCCACATCCAGCCTGGCCTTGAATGCCTGCAGGGATGGGGCATCCACAGCCTCCTTGGGCAACCATGGAGCCTGAACTGGTGTTGGTGTTGTGTCCATGCATGGGGAATCCATGTGGTTGGAGCAGAAAGCTTTTGGAAAACCTGCCTTACTCCTCTTGCTAAAAAGCCTAAGAATCTCAACAGGAGAAGCATAGATAGCGCTGGGGGATTGGGGCTCACATGTCTCATCTGGAGACCGCAGCTCGTGTCTGTTTGGTGAGCTCACAGATCTCCCACAGGAAACTTCTGTGACTCTTTGCAGCCATCTCTGCTGCTCCCTGCATCCCATCCCCACTCTTACAGTGACGCTGAGGTTTCACAGATGTGCTGCTCTCTGTTTTCAAACCACAGCATGACTGAGCTGTGCCATGCTCTCCATTCCCCATTGAAAACCGCCGTGGCTTCCTTTGCATTCCCGACTCAGGCACGAAATACCTCTCCTGTTTTCCAAACCAGCACAAGGAGTGTCTGCTTCCCTTTTGGTGGAAGCCCCAGCATGTGAACTTGGTCCTGTTTATCTTCCCCACCCTGTGTTTCAGAAAGACGACCCCGATGACTGCCCCATTGAGCTCAGCAAGGTGCAGAGTGTCAAAGTGGTGGCCAAGAAGCGCCGGGACCGCAGCCTGCCCCGGGCCTTCGAGATCTTCACCGACAGCAAGAGCTACGTCTTCAAGGCCAAGGATGAGAAGAGCACGGAGGAGTGGCTGCAGTGCATCAACGTTGCTATCGCACAGGCCAAGGAGAGGGAGAGCAGAGAGGCCACCACGTACCTGTAGGGCTGCAGTGCTGAGCATCCCACTGCTCTGCACCCTCCATGAGCTGCCCGGGGTGGTGGGCAGCTGCTGGGACATGGGAGGCTGTGGGGTGGCTGTAATGCTGCCAGAAGACCCAGTGCTGCCATCCGTGTGCAGGTAGAGATGGAGCTGCCACGTCCACATGCAAAGTACAGCTTTTCCTTCAGGCTGGTCGCCTCCAAGCTGGGAGATGTGGCTGGAAAGCAGCCCAGCTCCAATCCTACGGCTCAGGTGTCCATGGCCTTGGCACTGCTGGGAGCACCCCACGTCCCCGGGCTGCCTGCATTCCTCCATCTGCAAAACGATCGTCCTCCTCCTTATTTAACCTCAATGCCTCTTACCTTTTTCCTGTCCCTGTGAATAAAAATCACAGCTGTTTCTCCCTTCAGGTCAGAGATGGGGCGATTTTAAAGATTTAACAGTGCAGAAGAACAAATTTAAATATTTAAGTGTTTTGGTTTCTTGCCACCTTCTCCCACTTTGCCCCCATCTGTAACCAACACAATTTTTAAAAACTGTTTTCCTTTTTATTTTTTTAATTACTTGCCTTCACTGTAAGCTTTCAGAATGGCTCTAAAAATGGATCATTTCAAGATCTGGGCTGTTGGGGTGTTTTTTTTTGGGGGGGGGGGAGGGGGTTTCTTACTCTCAAATGATTCCAAAGTGAAGGAAATGGCGCAGAAAAAAAATTAAAGCAGAAGAGAAAAAGTGGGGAAAGGTGAGTGGGAAATCTGTGGATGAAAAAATTAACCTGCAGGCCAAGATGGGGTAGATATAAAATTTAATGTTTTCCAATTTGACTAAAACCTCTAAAACAGTATTTTAGGAATCTGCTATTTCAGTACTTACAACCTCTATGACGCTTTGTGCCTCAAAATCAAGAAATCAGATCCAAGCCTGAGGGACAGAGTGAGGATTTCCAGGGGAAGGGAGCTGTCAGCCATTGGACTGCAAATACTGGGACCAGCAAACCCTTCCTTTGTCCACACAGGATGCACCATTGAGTTGAATGGGAATGAAGTTAATTCATGGGTGTACGTTTGTGGTCTTCATGTCTGGAGTTACATTGGCACAGCTGCTCGGGGAGGAGTGGGGTCACCATGCATGGAGGTGTTCAGCACCGTGGGGCACTGAGGGATGTGGTTATGGGTATGGTGGTGTGGGTTGGGGTTGGGCTGGGGATCTCAGATGTCTTTTCCAACCTACTTTAGCGATCCAGAGATCAGAACCTGTTTCACTACCAACAGATTTCCGTGTCCAAGTGCAGAACCTGGGCATGGGCCGGGCTGTGACTGTGTCACATAGAAGAATCATGGTCAGCTGTTGGGCTGTGGCTGTCACTGGCCAGGCCATGGCTCACCACTGCCACCACTGCCACCAACCCACGCCCTGCCCTGCGACCCATGGGAGCAATGCGACCCATTGGGGTCATTAGTGCCCTGCTTTGTGCCAAGAAACGATTACACAGAATGAGAAGCTTCGCCACACTTCTCCTGTCTTAAATTAAAACTTGGAGTGAAATAAAAGAGAAATTCGGCTGGCAGCTTATCCTAGTCAACCTCCCAAAAGGAGAAACACAGAAATCATCAATCCAGCTATGATGAGAGCAGGGAGATTTAAAAATAAATATGAAAAAAAAAAAAAGAAATGCAAATTGCACTGTGGCAAATGTTCTTCTTGAGCAAACGTATAAATAGTTCTTCCTGTTTCTTTTTTTTGAAACGATGTGCATTGGAGTTTTCTAAATTTGAGTAGTGCTGTGCTCTGAGTGGGGAGCTTGGGGCACTCCTCACTTCGTGACTGTGCAATGTCCCCAGCAAGAGCCATCCTGGGATGGGGACAGGGATGGGGATGGGAAGACAGAAATGGGGTCATGGAGAGGGAGAGGGATGGGGAATGGATCAGAAATGGTGACAGGGATGGGGAAACAGAGACAGAAATGGGAACAAGGTCAGGGATAGGGATGGGGAATGAGTCAGGGTGGGGATGGGGATGGGGATAGGGACAAAGAGAAGCTTCTGGTGCCTGTGGTCACATTCCTGCAGGCTGCAGGGGAACCCATCACCTTCCATTTGTACCTTGCATGGTGCCACACTGCTCATCCAGTTCCAACCCCCTGCTGCGTGCAGGTCACCAACCAGCAGCCCAGGCTGCCCAGAGCCACATCCAGCCTGGCCTTGAATGCCTGCAGGGATGGGGCATCCACAGCCTCCTTGGGCAACCTGTGCCAGTGCCTCACCACCCTCTGGCTGAAAAACTTCCTCCTGATATCCAACCTAAACCTCTCCTGTCTCAGTTTAAAACCATGATGGGGACAGATAAGACCCTTGGGCTGGGCTCAGCTCCCAAGGTTGGCAGAACAGCAGAGCTCTTCCAACACATCCCTACAAGACCCCATTCCCCCCCCAGGGCTGTACTCAAAGGCAGAAATCACAGCTGCGGACGCTGGGCTGCATCCCCAGGCTCCAAGCAGTGCCCTGTGCTCCAGTGGCCCCACGCACAGCATTTCCCAGAAACGTGAGCTGCCTGCCCAGGCCTTGTTTACAGAGCTGAGCGCAGCCCTGGGAGCATTTCCAGGGAAAGTTTACCCCACGATTCGCCCCTGAATCCTCGAAAAAGAAGTTCTCCAGCACGGTTAAAAGGAACAGAATAAAATAGGGGGTGAGTGCGTAGGTATTGCACACAGCACTGCGGGTAGAAGTGGAACAAGCTGGATCTTTGACTCACTCTCAGAGCTTCCAGCTTTTCTGATCCTGCAGGGACCCCCATGCCTGCCAGCTGCTGCCAGCTCAGCCAACCCATCCCAGTGCAGACAACCAGCGCTTCGAGGATAAAATCTGGAGACCTCAGAGGTCTTTTGCAGCCATTATGGTTCTGTGATTCTCAGTGCCGTCTCCACCTTCTGTGGACACAAAGCATTCTAAAGGTAATCCTAGCATGCGACGAAGCATGACTTTCAGTCCATCTGAGGTCACGGTGTTTCAGGACAGAAGAGCTGTTCCATTGATAGCTGTTGGTTCAGGGCCAGCTCTGCCTGCTGCTCTCTGCCCTCTGCCTTTGCCCTCCACTTCTTCTGCCTTTTCCCCAGCAGGGGAACCACATGGAGGCACACGTCCTGTGTGTTCTGTGGGCAAAGCATGAGGAAATTGGAACGGGGGGCAGGAGGCATCACAAATCAAACAATGCCTTTTGTTACCAGCAATGAGCATATCCAGCTCCCTTCCAAGAGAGTGGAAAACAAAAAACACTGATCTGGGAGCCCTCCAGGTTTCAGCCTGGAGCTCACATCAACATCCCCACAGACTGCTCAGTAACAGGAGCACCATAACATCTTCAGGTCATGAGCAAAAAAAACCACATTTGCTGGTTCCTGGCAGTAGCATGTGGAAAAACTGTGAGTGTCTGTAAGAGGGCTCTTTGTTTTGTTCTTTTCTGTGACAAGATAACTTTGCATAAGCAGGTAACACTCATCAGTGGGTACACATGTGTATCTGATGGGGTGAATTTGTCCAAGAGCACACAGCACTAGGAGGCCATGTGTCACAAAGCGCCGCACGGATCCGTAACCGAAGATCTGATGTTGGTTGTGGCTTGGGGCTCCAGCCCAAGTGAAAACACTCGTGCTGAGTGCTGTTGTTTTCCCTTTGAAGAGAGTGAGTGTGACAATCCTTTGCTTTGGTGCAGGTGGTGTTTAGGCAACAGCAGAAGATGTTTTTCCAGCTGTCCATGGCTGTGCCTGAGCTCTGACACTGCCCCAGCCACACTCCGAGTCCACACTCGGGTTGGGGTCAGGGTTAGGGATAGGATGTAGGCTGCTGAACATGGGCAGAGCTCAGAAGACCTGCTTTGGGAAGATGGATGTTGTTTGAGAAGTGAAGCTGTGTGAGCACACTGTTCTCCAGCAGCCCTCCAGCAATCAGTCTGATTGCTCTTCGGATGGGACTGGGACCACAGGAGCTGGGGCCGTGTGGGACATGGGACATCAGGTGCCCAGCCCCCTCCCACCAGGATTGCTCCCAAGCAGCTGAGCTGAGTGCTGTGCCTTCAGCAGAGCTCGCTGCGCACTGTGCAGGAGCCGAGGTTGGGGCTGTATCCCATTGCCCTCCATAAGGTAACGACACAACTCTGGAGAGCACCTTTCTGCCCTCTGCATGGGAGGAGCTCCAGGAGAGGCCTTGGGACCATGGCTTCACCTCACTGCATCAGCCAAAGCCACCTGAGTGACCAAGCACAGGTGTGGGGTAGAAATTGCTGACGGATCTCTGCAGAGCAGCTGCAGCTGCCTCGTAACCTTCGTGGATAATCGACTTGAAATTGCTCACTTTGCCTCACAGGCCATTGGCCTTTTCTGCTTCCCAACAGAGCAAGTCAAGTTTACAGGCAGGAAAAAAAGAGATAGAAAACGTTGGCCAGGGAGAACCATTTGTCTTGTGTAAAGTTACTCCAGCCTGAATTCATCAGTGGCTTGGTAAACACCTTGCAGCCCTCCAGAGAGCTTTCTTTTTTGGCCAAACAAAAAGCAGTGAACGGAATGGAAGCTGAGCACTCAGAACTATTTTTGCAAATGGTTTCAGCTGTGTTGAGTGCATCACATCTGGTTGCATCCCGGCCCATTTAATCACTAAGGAGAGCACAAGTGAAAAGCAGCTGCCCTCTTCAGCAAGCTGAGCTCAGTTCGGGCTCCCCTTCTGCTCCCTATTAGTTCCCCACCCCTTCAGTCACCTCCAACACAGGCAGTGCAGTGGAACAGGAAGGATGATGGGGAACACGATGGTTTTATCTGCAGCCTGTTGTACACACTATGATGAAAGGAGAAATAAAAGCCATGTGTCAGATATCAGTGTTGGTACTGAGCTCTAAAGCCCTCAAGGCTGTTGGGAGGGGCTGTGCTGGGGAGGATGCTGCGTTTAACAGCAGGATGTCGCCCAACCCTTTTAGCTGAAAGTTGTAGCTAAGCGTTGCAATGCAACAAATTCATAGAATGAGAGACTCCCAGAATGGATTGGGTTGGAAGCAACCTTTAGGTTCGTCAAAAGGCTCTCAGGGCTTTCTTTCATCCACTCTTCTGACTCCTTCAGACAGAGTGAGCAGCACAGACCCCCAAACCACCTGCTGTAATACCCATATGGAGCAAGCCTGATAAGAAAGGAACAAAAGTATTTTCTCTCATCCTGAAGGAGATAGAGGGCCTCCTGAACTTTTACAGCTCCCTGCCTTTACTTCCACAGCTCTAATATCTATACAGCATGACCTGTATTTGTCACTTTCTCTACTCCACTTCTCTTTTCATTTATTCTTTAAAAAGTTTAGCCCTTGCCTTCCCACCTAGGAGATTGCGGGATGGCTGCAAGGGCACTGGCAGTGAGCAGTGAGCAGTGTCACACAGTGCCAGCAGCCCTGCATGCAGCACCGGGCTGCTGGAGCACCCACAGAGCAGAGTCTGGGTGGCCTGCAGGTAGCAGTGCTCCCCAGGAGCTGATATTGGGCTCAGTCTTGTTCAATTTCTACATCAGTGACCTGGATGAAGGGATAGAGTTCAAGTTTGTTGGTGATATGAAGCTGGCAGGGCTGTGTGGCCCCTTCAGCTTGCTGAAGGCTGTGTGGCCATTCAGCAAGGTATGGACAGGTGGGAGAGTTTGGTGGAGAAGAATCTGATGAGCTTCAACAAGGGCAAGAGTAGAGTACTACAGCTGGGGAGGAATAATAACACACCAGTACAGGTTGGGGGCTGAACTGTCGGAAAGAAGCTCTATGGAGAAGAACCTGGGGGTCCTGGTTGACCAATGGTTGACCATGAGCCAGCCATGTGCCCTTGTAGCCAAGGCCAATGGTATCCTGGGTGCTCTACAAAGAGTGTGGTCAGCAGGTGAGGATGCTCTTCTCTCCCTTGATCTGCGCTGGTGTGGCCACGTCTGGGGCACGGGGCCCAGTTCTGAGCTCCCCATTTCAAGGCAGGCAGGGAACTGTTGCAGAGAGTCCATTGGAGGGTGCAGAGATGGAGATGCCTGGGGGCCTGACCACCTCCTGATGAGGAAAGGCTGAGAGCACTGGTGCTGTTCAGCCTGGGAAAGAGAAGACTGAGAAATGGATCGTATCAATACCTGTATGTATACAAAGAGCAGGAGCCAGGTGGATGTGGCCAGGCTCTTTTCAGCCCTGGCCAGTAACAGGACCAAGGGCAACAGGCACAAACTGGAACTTTGGATCTGTGATTCTGTGAAATACAGAATGGAGAGGGGAGGGAAGGAAGAGCTGCCATGGATCTTCATGTTATTCCCGCACGCCAGTGCAGACGGTGCATGAAGGGCCTGCTGCAGAACACCAGCACTGCGGGTGCCTGCATTTCTCATAGGAGCCATTCATTTTAGGATGGATCCAGCTGCGTGCCTGTTATTTTGGCTCTGCCAGTTTGACTTAACAAACACATCTTGATGGGAAGTCCCAAAGTGCCAGGAACGCCCCTTGTTCACCAGCGGGTTTCAGCAGCCTGCTGAACGTTAAAGGGCTGCTCAGACAGGCTGAGATGTGACTGGCCAGGGATGGCCCACTGGGGACACCCTTCCTTTATTTGGCCTGACACATGAGCTAATGCAATGCACTCCCCATTCATCATAGCTACATCCCAAATCGTGACTTGGTTAAAAAAAAAAAAAAAAAAAAAGGCATTGCAGAGAGGTCAGAGGGACTTTGTCAAAACTTTCCTGAAATTTCCAGCTAAGAACAGAGCAAAATAGCCTTTCCCAGCTCTCCAGAAGCAGCCTGACTCAGAGTAGGTACAAGGAGTGAGAGCCTGAGCCAATGGAGGGATCTGGCTAATAAGATGCAGCTGGCTGAGCTACCAAACCTGCAGCTGGAGGCACGGGCAGTGGGTTGGGGGGGTTTGTTTGGGGTTGTTGGCTCTCCTTATGTGGTATTCTGGAAGATGAACCTGCATGTGGGCTTAAAAACTGGAAATGTCCAACAGGTAAAGCTCCCCTCAACATAAGGTTGTTAAGTCTAGGCTGGGAAGGGTATGTTGGCTGAGAGCTGGGCAATCACTGCACGGCCTGAGCTCTTTGAAAACACACCATGGGTGGAGGTGGGCTGCTGGGGGCACTGAGGCTGCACTAAAATGGGGGGCTGTGCTTGGGACAGCGTGACCAGCACCTGCATGAAGGAAGTATACATTTTATATATATATTTATAAATATAAAATAGTGTACACAAAAAGGTTTAAAAGATAATTTGCCATGCTGATCACTTCCATGGATTATGCTGTACACTGAAGGAAAAATCTGGTGCACTTTGAAGTGGCACAGAGCTGGTGAGCTCTGCTCTGTCTCGGAGTGAAGTCAAAAAGTCTTTTTTCCAGTCCTAATGATAACACTTCTATGTTTGAAGCTAAAAGCTTTGCACAGCTGCTGAGACAGGCTGTGTTATCAGCAAAATGTTCCCAATTTTGGTTGTGGGGTTTTGGGTTTTTTTTTTTTTTTGTAACAAAGTGCTGCCTCCTGCTGGGTAAAAGGGTCTGTGATAAAGCTTGTCTTAGGTTATTATTAAGTGGTTTTAACTTGAAGTTTGGGGAGAAGCGTGGCAGAGCTGCTCCCACCCACCTGGAGCCCTCCTGGCCCGGGGTCCTGCACTGCTGTGTGTACTAGCAAGCACTGTGGGCTGATGGATAAGAGCTCTGGACGGGGTTCCTCGCCTGAATTGCATGCCCAAGTAGTGTGAAATGAATGGCAAGTGAATAACTGCAAAAATCTGCATGGTTGGTTGGTTGGTTTTCCTTTTTTAATCTGTTTAGAGAAATATTAGCCAGTGGTATTGTGAGTCTTCCCAGAACCTAAGTGAGGTTTTGAGCATCTTTAAGAATCTTGTAGTTCAGACCATGGTCCATTCCAGAAATAACAGAATTATCCTTCTGTGCTGATAAAATGAATTACATGAAGCATAATCCTGACTCTTGCTGCACTGTACAGTATGAAGGAACTATAAAAGCAAAAATCCCTATTCATGTCTGTTATGGAAAAAGGAGTGTAACTCACAAATGACCTGCTAACGTGACTTTCAGATCTCCCTTTGTTTCTAGCTAACTGTTACTGGAAATAGTCATGGGTACCGATATGCTACATCCCTTATTCCCATGGCGCACCCTGCTCGCATTTGTGTTGGTTTTCTCAGCGCTGCAGGGACAGACGGCTCGTTGTTGGCAGCTCCTTTTATTTGTGAGTACCTCGTGATCAATCAGACGTGGTGTCTGTTGGCTATCTCAGTAAAACGAAACATCCTGCCCGTACGTTGGCACTTCGATTCCCCGTCCCGCGGCTGGCCACGCTCCGCGGCACCGCACCCCCCCCGCAGTGCGGCTCCAGCCCGCTAGGTGGCGCACTGCCCCTTCGGAAAGGAGCGCTCCCATGCAAACAGGCAGCTGCGGGTCAGGAGGGTGCGCAGCGCTCGGAATTGCCCCGGTGCACGCAGCCCCTCCTGGCCCCATTCTGATACGCACATGGACAAAGCAGTGACAGATTTGCTTGATTTAGCTGAGATGAAGCATCTCAGCGCTGGCTGTATCTGTCTGTAGAGGAAAAAACTCGGCAAAGCTGCTCACCGATTGCACTGAAGATGTTTTCAATCTGGTGCAGTCAGTCTATCAGATATTGCTCAGGATGTGGTTCTGTTGTGGCTCCCAGCACGGCACGGAGCCTCCCTGGGCTCACAGCACCCAGCAGCACGGCCTCACCCTGCCTGGTGCGTGGCTGCAGAACACAGCGCTGGCAGCAGTAGGAGAGAATCACCTCTCCTGCTGTGCAGCAAGGTGACTGCAGGGCTGGGTGTCCTGTCACAGCTGGGGCCACAGGGACTGATAGAAAACAAGACAATCTTTTTGGATCTCCAGACTGTTTTATTGAGAAATGCTCTGTTGGGCTCAGCCTGCAGGCACGCTGCTGTGTGCGTGGCCCAGGGTAAGGACAGCACGTGTGATGTCAGGGTTTGCTGACTGCTGGTGTCACAGCTAGCAGCAATAAAAGCAGGCATTGTACTTCTAGTAGCACATGGTGTCTCGTATGTACCGACACATTCCTCAGCTTCCCAGGGCTGCAAGTGCTCTGAGAGAGCAGGATAAGCCCTCACTGGACAAGCTGATCTTTCTTTCACTGTCCTTTAAAGCTGCAGGCTCATGATGCATCCACTAAAAATAATTTAGGCCTGTCCTCGCGGTGACAAACATCCTCCTGGCTGAACGAGAGCTAAATCTGTCTTGCTGAGGTCTGCCTGTCAGGACACAGCCTGTTCTTTTCCATCTCCCCTGTTGCTCGTTTCTGCTCACACTCCGTGCTAGGGGCTCACTCTGATTTATTCCAGGCTGGAGCTTTGATCCTTTGCCTTTTTGCTGGCGTGCCTGCAGATACAAATTGCTCAGTGGTGATAATCTGTGAGAAGCACATCGTGGAGCACTGGTTCTGGAGAGGTGTGCGATGTAAAGAACAAACTGCTCAGGTCTGCCCTTCTGCTGATGGCACTGGGTGTAAGAGCCTCTCACCAAAGCACAGGGCCGTGCTGTGAGCTCAGGGCACCTCTCCCAAGCTCAATGTCACTTAATTCCATTTGACATTAACCCAGTTTTTTACTTCCAGATGAAAATGCTATCAGTGATGGCAATGTTCTCAGGACAGAGCCAAGGCAGGTGTGTGTGCCAGCACACGTGCAGAGCATAATGCTTTTTAAAAGCATGTTGTGATTGCTTGGTGTGGATAACACCAAGCCTGGTTGCTCATTTCTCCACTCCAAATGCTGGTAGGTGGCACTGCTGGCCCATGGAGGGGGCTGAGACAGAGCCAGAGCACAACAAAAACTGCTTCTCAGTCCCAACTTGTGTCCTGTGTCTTTACTCAGAGGACAGGAAAGACAGAGAGCAGCCAGAGCTGTATGAGCAAACAGCAGTGATGGTGCTGCCACCAGCCCTGCCCTTCCTCTGAAGCTGCCTGCTGCAGTTCAAAGGTTGGTGCATTAACTGCCAGGGTTGGTATCAGCTGGACACGTTTAATGCCACTTCTCAAACCAGTTCACTCAATCACATAACGTGCACGCAGACAAAACGTGCTCTGTGATCTGCATCTGAATGTCTGCTGCCTGCTCGGCGTTGTCTGATGATGGTAAGACCTGATAAATTCCACTTGCTTTGTCTTGATGCCACTCAACGGGAGAAACAAGTGTGAGTTTTGAATGTGCTGGAACACAGACTGGAACCAAAAGGATGTTAAGCATGATGTCCAGTTTGAAAATGCACCCAACTACTGTTCAGCAATACACGATCAGATGGTGGGGAAGGCTCACTGATTTGAATCTTTTCTTGGTAAAGCCTTCAATGACTTTAAGCTTGACACCAGCAGTGGCTTCACTGGCAAGAGTTGAGGAATGCACTGAAACCAACAAAATGAGAATGGAAGGTAGAGTCGGTTAACGTGAAACAGACAGACAGACACTTGTATGAAGGGCTGTGCTCACACTCGTGCTTTTGGTTTTGTACCAAGTTATTCCAAGCAGAATGTAACTACTGAATTGCTCTTTTCTCCTTCAAAACCACAAAGAGTTGAACGTAACCACCCTCTGGGAACCATTTCAAATATCCCTCGTTTCTCAGAGCTGTTAATTTAGAGTCCACACTTGCAGTCTCTGTAAATCTTTTATAGAAGTCGCCTACCTAAATCTTCTTTAAGTCTTAATTTGACTGAGTAAAGCTTTCTTGCTCCAGACTGAGTAAATTGCATTGCCACAACTTTTAGTGCCAAGCTCTTCCATATCATTGCCAACCTCGTATGTGATCCACACTGCAAGTGTTCCTGCAATCAGGTTCTATAACATAGGTTCTGTCTATAATTCTTACAGATTCTTCACTAGTTTATCAGATTCAAGTTGAAGAATAGAAACAGATCTCCTAAAAATTTGATTTAAAAAAAAATCCCAAGTCTTTGAAATAAAAAATTGATTGACTGCAATGGGTAAATTAATTCAGTAACATTCCCTGTTCTCTTAAACTGATCTACTTGATACGACAGCAGAAACTTTCAGGTATCACCTAATGTCACAACATTTTACTGCTTAATAGCCTGTCACGTTGTCGTCTTATACATTGACCTCATTCTCCAAGGAAATGTTTCTGCCATCACAGTCTCACTTTTCTGAACAAACCCCTTCTATTCTGTGAAGGGATCTGCATGTTGAAATTTGCAGTTCTTTGCCTAAAACCTGCTCTTCTATTTCCTTTAGTGAAACATTTGCTGACAAACCTGTAAAATCCTCAGGGGATGTTCGGGATGGAGGTGGTTCACTTCCCCACTAGGATGGAGGTTTCTGGATACCCTACAGCTCCTTTCCCACCAGGTTTACTTGGAAACTGGTGTTACCTTCATTTCATCTTTGCCCATCCTCTGCTTCCCAGTTCACTGCTCAGCTTTGGAGTCTGCACCTGCAATCAGAAGTAGGGAAAAATGCAGCAGCATTGCAAGGTGCTGCAATGGTGTAGATACCAAAGGAGTGCAGGACAGACACCGGAGATTTGGGAGCTGCCATACGCTGCTGCACCATCCCAGGACTATCTGCTTTGCTCAGGTGAGATGGGGACTCGTTCTGCCCCAAAGCCACGGCCAGCAATGGGGCTGGTGGGGACCCTGACAATGCCTCCTGGCACCCTGTGCTCAGCACTGGTGTTGCAAACACTCCATGTGATTTCAGGCCGTCGCACGAATTCTTGAAACCAAAGATGGGTATTTCAGTGTTCGTTTTGATGCCAGTAGTTATGTCCACGTAGTCAACTTAAAGAGCTCCCAGATATGACTCGGGGCTGAAGGGCACATTAGACTCATTAATGTACTCACATCCATGATTCAGCCAGCAGTTATGGACTGCCTTCATTTTCCAACAACACGCTGCTTCCTGGCAAAAAAGCATGAACTTATTAACTGCTGTGCTGATGGGTTTAAGTTGTCTACAGTGCGCAGTGGGGTATGGTTCTGGGGAGGTGACAACACAGGCTTTCCCTCCTGTTGGTGGTGTTACAAAATAAAGCGTTAGATTAAAGATTTAATTGGAAGTTAGGAAGCAATTCTTTTCTCAGAGGGCAGCAAGGCCACAGAGCAGTGGGTGCCCCATCCCTGGGGGTGCTCAAAGCCAGGCTGGATGGGGCTCTGGGCTGCCAGCCCATGGCAGGGGGATTGGAGCTAGATTATCTTGAACATATCTTCTGACCTAAGACATTCTATGATTTATTAATGTAGCTCCACTGTACCATCCTGGAGACATCAGGTACTAGCTCATCAGATGCTACAGACTTTGTTTTTTGTTGTTTTTTTTTTTTTAATATGCTGCTATGGGGACAACACATTGCTCAACTTTACTGAATTGAAAAACATACGCCTCCATGAGAACCGATACAAACCTGGGGTTTCTTTACCCAGCTCCCCTTTATTATTTCTTTAACCTGCAGTACTTTCAGTGACCTGTACATTGCTTCTGCCACTGCAGAGATGCTTAGCACGAGCTTTGTGTGCTCACTGGCTGCACCAGGCACCCAAGAGGGCTGCTGGAGGTTTCTAAAAGAAAAGATCTCCAGTCCCCCAGGTTGGTGGTAGGCTTCTTAAATCTATGTAAAATTGTTTTGAAAATCTCAGTGACTGCACGGTATGAGGCTCAGGGAAGGAAGTTGTGAAAGGGCCAGGAAATGGGGTGGGTACAGAACCCCTCCAGCCAACCAAACCCCTGCTGAGCCACAAACTGCAGCAACCACCCAGCACTGGGGGAAAAGGGAAAAGCAATTAAATCCTTCTGAAAAAGCACTATTCCAGTGATAGTTACAGACTGGCTCTCAAACCCCAAATACAAACAGGGAAGGGAAGACTGACAAACAAGCACTGTGAACTGTGAACTCTGAAAGCCTTGTTTGTAAAGCCTCACCCTGACCATGACACAGAGCCCAGTGCCTCACCCAGCTGCTCCACACCTCCTCGGCCGCCCTTGCTGGCAGCCAGGCCTTGTGCACCTCCAGCTCACTGCCACAGCCTGGCAGCACCGCCCTGATCAAACTGATTGATCAGCATCTCGCATTTGTATCTCCCCACAAAGGCTCCTTACCACCCGTCTCAGCACACGGAGCAGCACGGACTGCTGGCTCTTTGCTCAGTGAATCACAGAATCACAGAACGGCCGGGGTTGGAAGGAACCTCAAGGACCATGAATCTCCAACCCCCTGCCACGTGCAGGGCCACCAACCTCCACATTTCATAGCAGCCCAGGCTGCCCATGGCCCCATTCAACCTGGCCTTGAACACCTCCAGGGATGGACGGGGCATCACAGCCTCTCTGGGCAGCTGTTCCAGCACCTCACCACTCTCTCTGTAAAGAACTTAAGGATGATGCTACAATTCAGCCCTGCTGCTCGGAGCCTGGGCACGCTGTGAGCCCTCAGGTTTGCTGTTTGAATGGCAAACAGCAACTTCACAGGGCTGGGCACGCCTGGCTGACAGGGCCGGCACACGGCACTGCTGTGGACCTGCCTTGCTGCACGAGTCCCTGCCGCAGCACGGCTTTCTGCTGCTCACCCCGTGGCGGTGGGTGAGGAGCGGGGCGGTGGCTCAGAGCCGCGCCACGGGAGAGGAGCTCCGGGCCCTGAGGGAACCCGACCCGAGCGGTCCCCTGCCCACGGCACGAGGTGCCGTCTCTCCACGCGAAGCCCCCAGCCCCGCTTTCCGCACCGGAGCGCCGTCCCGCCGCCCTCGCAGCCCGCCGTGACCGCGGAACCCCACGGCGACCCGCGGGGCCACGCGAGGACGCGGCGCCCCCGCACGACATGGCGGACGGCTGACGACACCGGGCGGCGTCAATCAAGCCGAGGGAGCCAATCAGATCCCGGAGCTGCCCGCCGGGGCGGGGTTCGCCCGCCAGCCGCGGGTTGGTAGTCCCGGCCGCGTGGCGCAGCGATACGGGCGCGGTGCGGCCGTTCCGAGAAGTGATGCGAGCGGGCGGAATTTCCCCGGCGTCGCGATTGCGACAGAGCTGCGTCGTGTCCTTCCCCGGCGGGGCGGAGGGAGGGGAGCGGTCGCCGCGACTGCGGAGCTCTGCCGAGGCGGAGCGGCGGTTGTAAATAAGGCCTGGTGCCGTGCCGGTGCTCCCCATCCGCCGGCCCTACCGAACGAGAGAAGAACGTCTGTATGAGAGCGGGCGACGACGCACGCGTCGACGTGGAGCCGCGATTTCCTCGCGTCTCGGAGCGATTCCTCCACGTCGCTTAGAATGGCTTAAAGAGGACGGGCTTTGAGCGTCCAGCGATCTGAACGGCTGGGTCCCTCCCCGCTCCGCCCGCACGGCCGTAAAGCCGACGGCAGCGCAGGACGCACGGACCGCGCAGCCCGGCGCCGCCCGCCGTTCCCTCAGCCGCTCAGGGCGGGGCTGAAGCGGGCGGACTCTTTTTTCCCGCCGCGCCGCGCGGTGCCGCCGAGTGCTGCGTCACAGCGCCGGGCCGCGCCAGTCCGTGCGTGGCTGCGGAGCGGAGCGGCCGCCATCATGGCCTCCGCCGCCGCGCACCCGGCCCCCCCGCCCGCCGCCGCCCCGGCTGTCGCCGCCGCCTCCTCGTCCGCCGCCCCGCCGCCGCCGCCACCGCCCCCCGCCGCTCCGGGCATCCTGATCGGCGACCGGCTGTACTCGGAGGTGTCGCTCACCATCGACCACTCGCTCATCCCCGAGGAGCGGCTCTCGCCCACCCCTTCCATGCAGGACGGCCTGGACCTGCAGTGCGAGACCGACCTGCGCATCCTGGGCTGCGAGCTGATCCAGGCGGCCGGCATCCTGCTGCGCCTGCCGCAGGTGGGGCCGGCCGGGGGGGCGCCATTGTGGCGGGGGGCGGCGGCGCTCGCACAAAATGGCGGCGGGCGCGCGCGCTGACGGCCGCCTCCTCTCTGCCCTCACAGGTGGCGATGGCGACCGGGCAGGTGCTGTTCCACCGCTTCTTCTACTCCAAGTCCTTCGTCAAGCACAGCTTCGAGGTGAGCGGGGCCGGGGGAGGCGCGGGCGGCGCTCGGCGCGCGTCGGTTCGTGGTTTCCGAAGGGTCTGACGGAGCCGGCCTTCCCCGCAGATCGTCGCCATGGCCTGCATTAACCTCGCGTCTAAAATCGAAGAGGCGCCGCGGCGGATCAGGGACGTGATCAACGTGTTCCACCACCTGAGGCAGCTCAGAGCCAAAAGGTAAGGCCGTGTGCCGCCCCCGGCTCCCTGTCACCGCATCGCCCCGGCCCGGCCTGCCGGCTGGCAGCTCACTGAAGGCAGCTTTAGGCACCGCCGGCCGACGAGCCTTCAGACCAGAGCGCCCCCCATGCCTTCCTCGTGCGTCAGTTTGCAGAGGGGGAAGGCTGAGCTCGTAGCGGTAGTGGTGTTGTTCTGTAGAAACGGTGGTTTTTGGAAGGAATCTGAAGAGAGTGGCTTGGCTGACAGTGTGTACGGCTGTAATGACAGCACCTCGACAAGGAGGAAGTGCGATTGAGCCTTGGAAGATGGAGGTGTCTCAAATTGCAAAAAGTGAGGCTTCTGGTCTTCTGTGGTACTGTGTGCTCGTGTAAGTCCTTGGAGATGGAGTGTAAGCTCACCTGATCCATGTGCAGCTCTGTAGCTGTGGGCTGTTGTCAGCTGTGAGTGCCTAATTCTGCTTTTTTGTGTGGAAAGCAGTGTCTGTTTTCATGTGGAAAGCGGAAAAAGGAATGGGAAGGAGAGTTACCATTAAATTTACCAATTTCCTTAAGTATGTTGTGCAGCAGCGACTGAAGGAGACTTCAGCTTTGGTGAAGTGGCTTTAATTCTAGAATGTGATTACTTCAGATAATCCATAGCTCTAAAGGCAGGGTTTTCAGCTAGGTTTTTAAGTTCACGCTTTCGTGTATGGGTTTGTATCGCCAGGTTACAGCAGGAGTTCAAACTAAGCCTTGTGTTGCCTTCTTGAAAGAGTAGAAATCTGTTAGGGAAGCCAGCCGTTCCTTGGGACACTTATCCCTGTTGTGGTTCTGCTGTGGCATCTAAAACATCTGCCTTCTGCTCGTGTCTTTGGAGTTAGCTTCAGATAAAAGAACAACTCATTGTTAAAGTTCACATGGAACTTAGTTTTGTTGTGGGTTTTTTTTTTTTTTCCATTTCCATCTTGTTGTTGTCCCTGATGGCCCAGAGGGAGTTTTGTGAAGTTACGCAGAACGTGGATTCTGTGGTGGTTTCTTTTATGACGAGGAGATCTGGCTTATTGGGTTATTGGAATCACTTCATCAGCTTCTAATGTTTTGGCCTTGATCTGGATGTGGAAGCCTGGTTACTTGTATGCAGTGCTCTTTTTTTTTGCTTTTTTTTTTTTTTTTTGTAAGGAGAACACAAATAAGTAGTTTCTGTGCTATATGCAGGATCAGAAGCTGAGCTTAACCTGCAAACTTAAGACTTTCCAGCTAGCCTGTTCCAAATCAGAATGTCACTTACAGATGTTACGTAGTGACTTAAATGCATCATGATAAGAAGTCATGCACTTCTGCCCTGTTATTATCTGGAAAAATGGGTATTGTTGGTCTGAGATTCTAAGTGAATCTGCATGAAATCAATCTTAAAATGCTGAAGTCTGACATTCAGGCTTGCTTTTTTTTTTTAAACAGGATGTAAACGTTTTTCTGTACTTTTTACAAGATGACATGTACATGATCTGTACACGTTATTAACTTCAACTCTTTTTTCCCTTGCAACCGACTATACAGCGACCAGCTACATTTACCAAAGCCTGGGTGATGTGGAGTGGTACATAAAGATGAAGCTGTCGTCATGGCAACAGTGAGTGAAGTATCGAAAATCCCCAAGGAGAAGCCAGTGCTCTGAGAATAGGTCACTGGAATCGGGGGACTAACAGGTTGGCCGATGGTGAACCATTTGGAAGAACTCCTGTATCTTGTTATAAGCTTTTTTCTTTGCTGTCCAGGTTTTTAGAATACTAGCTTAATCTTCTTTTATCTGAAGCTAACACTTAGGCTGTAGCTAGTTTCTCACACCGACCCAGAACTGAGATGAATGGTTAGGCTGCTTACTTTCTTTCTGCCTGTAGTTTAGTTTTTCCATTAACCGAAGCTCTTAACCCACGTGACATTTGAGTAGACTTGCTTTCTTAAACAGTTTGGGGTTCTTTGGTCCACTGTGTGGGTCTGTGTAAGTGCAGTTTGAGTTTGTAGTAAAACACGCCTTCATCACAAGGGTGCAGAAGTCTTTAAATTTGTAAAGCTCTTCATATAAACGATTTGTAAGCAGTCCTTATGTGTTTGTTTGCAGAAGTGGGAATATAGCAATTGGGATTTCCTTTTGTAAGTCATGTAGTCAACTGAGTTACTGCTAGGTGGTATTTCTAATGCTGGGAAATAAGAAAAAGCTTTAAAAGAAGTGTTTTGGACAAGCACCTTGACTTTTGAATCTCTCACAAGCATATGTCATGTAGTATTGCATGTGAAATGTTTGTGTGCATGAAGAAAAGTCGTATTATGAAAAATACTGCTTTTGAAAAAACATGTGCTGAAATATCTCTGTTCTCAGTCAAGTATAACTCGTGTTTAATGTGCAGAATGTAGTTTGAAGTTGATTTTACTTCTCTTAAATGTGCCTGAATGCTGCAGGTCTTTATGAGGCTTCAACCGAATGCGACTGCTGTCATTTGTAACCTCACAAGTGCTGCTCTGAGATGCTTGGTTGGCTGTTCTCACTTCTGTTGCAGCAGTCCCACAGTCCCACACCTGTGCTCAGGTGGCCTGCATTAATTCACCGGTGTTCTTAACTGCTCTGTGAACCCGCAGTGCTTGTATTTACGATGCTGGGGACAAATGTAGAACTCTCTTTCTTTTGGAATTGGCTACCATAAGAGAGGTGTGCTCTTTGAAATGAGATGCTGATGCCAAGCTGCACTGATCAGAAGTACGTGTTGCATTTTAAACAAAAGCACACACAGGGTGCTTCTCCTCCAGCTTACCACGTGTTCCAGAGGTATCAAACATTTATACTGCATCTCGTGAAGCTGTAACTATGTCAAACAAACTGATCCTGTTTGCCAGAGGGATTTCAAAAAAGCATGTTTAATTTATTCTGTTACGGGCATGTTGGAGTGTGCTTATCTCCAGAGTCTCCAATCCAGATTGTGTTTTGTGGCTGTTGGACTGATTCACCAACATGGGCACTGTATGCTGCTCT